TGTGAGTTTACTCAGATTCAGGGATTTTAGTCATATTAGGCAATACCATTTTAAGTGGATATTGACTTATGTATAATTTTTATTGGAACACGCTAACCTACAGCAAAACGAGCAATACAACGTAAAATTTATTTTGTACAAGATAATTATGGTTATTTAAAAAAAAAGATGGAAAAGAAGAAGGTGATGCGAGTACTTTGCCAAATACAATATAATATAGAATATAATGGTGTATTTACGAGTGTGGGTTTATGAAACGATCACACGATAATATAAGCTCTCTGTGATGTGTTCAGGAACAGCATGTTACGACCGGAATTGCGGCATTGATCAGAGCTATTAGCAGTAATTATTAGTAAAATAATGCAAAAAAACTTAATTCACTTGTGTGTCACGCAACCGTAGTTTTTTTTTAAATTCATAGACATACTAGAGTCGGCCCCAAGAAGCTTAAAAGCTTTTTGGTCGGCCCCAACTATCATATCGTTCGATCTCAAGTCGATATCAAGTAACGTGTGAGATTTGTCAAAATTGGTTGCTATTGACATTTAATTTCGAATAAAACTTCATCTCGACTGAAATTAGAAATGAGGTCGAATCATATTGTTTTGTTTTTAGGAATTTATTCTAACAAATCAATTTATCTTTCTGCTGGTCGTAATTTGCGGTTTTTTGAACACATCATAGAGGGTTTATGATATGTGTATAGATAAAATATATATTTTTTTAATGCAAAATAATGAAAAGAGTCCATGTTGTAGTCGGCTGTTTGTGCTGCCACGGGCCGTGCAATGAGTAACTCAGCTCTCAACAATAAGGTATATTTATTTGAAAAGCAAACAGCGGTGATAGGAATGTAATATACCTAACTAAAACTTCATTTCTACTTAGCAAAGTGAATGTTTAATACGGATGAAAAATGCTGATAATAGGATCTTTCGTGTGTGGTCGCGTTCCTTATTAGTTTTCATTCCATTATGCCAGTCAGCCTTCACTATGGGATCTAGAAACAAATAGATACGTTAAAAAAAACGCTAGTTTTAAATCCAGAAGAATTAGTTTAATTAAAAAGCTATGTGTTTCTAACAATTTCAGACAAGGAATGGTTCCCGCCGCCCGATGAAGACTTTGTTCCACCTCACATCGTGCACCTGTACAAAAACAAGGGTATACTTTCGGGTATACTGCCAGAATATCTTGGCGAGTGGGCCGCCGAGAAAGTTAGATGTGAAAACGTTACTATGAGACCTAGCGGTGAGTATTCATTAATCGTTCATTCGGACAAGAGAAATAAATCTTCTCTATTGTATGGGGCGAGGCGAGATGCATTGTCAGCAAACGAACGTTTATGCGCGCGGACGGGTTTTGCTTAGTAGTCAATATATATGACAACATATTTCTTCTCACAGTTGGTAGTAAAACGACAGCTACCTGGAAGACTCTTAATGCACTGACACATTTTACCCTACACACGTCTGTCCGAAAGCATTCGTATCGTGTACATACTCATCGTTTTCTCGTCTGCAAATGACACGACATATTTTCGTCAAACCGACAAAGTTCTTGTCGTGTATAAGACCATTCTCATTTTTTCTGTAGTAGACATGTCGAATTTCTTAGCGTGTACACTCGCCCTCGAATACGTAACGTTACTAACGTTTGCCAACACCTACTTATTAATGCTTTTTATATAGATAATGTGTATTTATATTTATTTTAAACTGTAACTTTTTATGAGTAGGTATATCAATTAGTTTATTTATTTTAGCCATACTAAACTATCATTACAGATTATTATCCAATGCGATAGTCTAGACAATATAATTAATATTTACAAGTACATACTTATTATTAATCTAACTGATAACTACAGATAAATAAAGCAACCTTTGTGAATTTACTCAGAGGACACGTAAATATGTTCACCTCATTATCATATAAGTTCATGACCCGAGTTGCCCGAGTGAACGGCGATTCTCGTGACATGTTGGTGCGAGCATATGGCACCACCAGTAGCTGCGGCCGTCGCCATCGTTCCACATACCTGTTTGGCATACTAAAATTTATGTGCCTCAGTAAATCCACGTTGTCATTTTGATTTTGCCTTTAGTAATTTAAAAATATATGTTACTAATGCTACGTTTCTCCTGACTTCGAGTTTATTGTAACCTATCATGCTTAATATATAATTTAATATAAATAATGTTGGGTCCATCCGTGGGTAGAATGCATATACCCCATACTGTCTTAAATACATATATCTTAGAAATTTATTCTGTATCTCCTTAAGCATAAGTTGTATGATGTGTTCCTTCATAATGACAAAGAGTTGCATGTTCAATGAATCACAAATATTGTGGGTTTTTTTTTAAAGTAATGCAAACATTTACAGCACGTTTGAGAAAAAGTAATTTTTAAAACTGTGCAGACAGATTGAAAAAGCGTGAAAATTTAACCTAACTACAACAACAAAACTTTTGGCAATTTTGACTATAAAATATTTATTGAACAACTATAAATTATTACGCCTGTAGCATGTGGCATGCATCGTAAGCACACATGCAAAATGGCGGTCAAGAAGCATTTGTAAGATCAAGAAAAACCTGTGTTTCATTTCTTTTAATTGACAACTTGACTGTCAGTAGAAAGGGAGAGGTCTGATTTATGTACTTTTATTACAGTTCAAGTGTATGATGCTTTTATGTCGCCTGACGGTGACGACAAACTAGAGCTAACGCTGTCTGACGGCAGCAGCCTCAAGACTGACTATGTGAGTTTACTTAATTTCACAAGACTTCATTATTAAATACAAAGATCGAACACAGACAAAAATTCCTTCGACCCCACTGTACTCGAACCCGCGACCACGGGATTCGGCCCCCATTGCTTTTTGTACTAAGCTGTAGGTCGTGTTACCAAATCAGCCGCAGACGCGCTGTAGTCAATCGATTAAAACGCGCACAAACATCGTTGCAAGCAAGTAACTTATATGCTCCATCGGAGTTTACACTTAGAATTTCATGTAGTTGCTTCATTTCCAAAAGTAACTGAATTTATTTACAAACAAAACTAAAATAAAAAATTTTTTTCTTATCAAAATGCTCGATACACACGCGCGAGTACTAAATAGCAAACTAATGGAGTTATTTTATAATATTTTGTACATACATACATTTTGTATGGGAACGAAGTTAACAAAATGGAAAGTTTCCATACGTCAGGTTAGACGTAGCTCCACAAGGAACCATCTCGCGATTTCTTTAGGGAGTTCTGAACCGCACCTACAGGTTTGCACCGTCAATGCCAAACACGGAACAAAGCACCACGTACCTTGATTTGGTTGATGAATACAGGAGCCGCTGGATCACGGCGGCTAGCCGCCGGAACCGCGTGCTGCGATTTGGGTGACACCAAAATGTGAGGACAGTTTGATCCGCTGGGCGCGGGCTTTAGGTCAAATCAAATCAAATCAAATCAAATCATTTTATTCGTCATCATGGGTATAACAGTACAGATGTTAACGTTTAAAATATTGATCTCCATGACGTACCATCAAGGCATACGAAATGTAGAGTCTCAAAGAAACATTATTAATAAAAATCACATTACATTGACCAACTAATTATACATTATTAAATTAAACCAAGGTAATCTTAAATTTAAAAATAAAGTGATACAATTAAACGAATGTCAATAAATTAAAATACGTCATCAATTACAATACACAGTCATGTCTTTTATAAATTAATAAAATTACAAAAATTCCTCCAGGGAGTAGAATGTTTTTTCAATAATATAGTTAAATAATTTGCGTTTAAATTTAGGTTAGGGACAAGTTCACGATATGTATGTTTAGCACCTGGTTGGACGGTCTCGTAAGAGTTTACGTATTTTAAATATTTTAGAGAACACCGGGCATTATTGCCTTGTTGAGATGGAGCGCACGTCGAAAGTGCTCGTAAGCTTGTAACACGCCAATAGCGGGCGTCCTCGCGAATGACGTATTTGACGTTGCAAACCGCGCGAATGTTAAACGAAGAACTTACAAGTTTATGAAAACCGTACAGATTTATTTAAATATCTATGTATATGTGGAAGTACTGCCACCTTAACCGCCGCCAAGCAGTAATATGAGCATTACTGCGTTCCGGGTTTGAAGGGTAAGGGTGCTGGTGACATTACAGGGACATGGGACTTGTCAAATTATGTCTCAGGGTAACGGGCGCTGTGGCAGTGCTCCTCTGATCTTTGCGCTTTTAAGCACTGAGTGGCACTGCAACTGTTATGGACAGGAGTGTCGTTTACCAACAGGCCCACGATTTGTTCGTCCCGTCACTTGGTGTCTGGTGATAAGCGACACGTCTCGCCTGTCCATAGCTGTTGTTGTGCCACTCACTGCACCTGTCACTTAGATATAAATTGACAAGTCTCATGCGCTTGTAGTTTCATAAGGTGGCAGTACTTCCCTGGGCGAACTCTTTCACAAGGTGCTCTACTGATACTACATAGGCATTCCTACTAAGAATATTGTTATCGATGTTGTACTGAATAATTTTATGTACGACTGACGTTCTATTTAAATAATCAGAAATTTTGTTAATGCGTTCCTAACTTACGTTTGGTTTTTTTTAAATTTTCGAATGTTATCGAGTTCTTAGGTTTTCGCGATTGTTACACATAGGAAATGAAACTATTTTTCCGGATTTAAATCGCGTATATTTGTTTTTTCAACGAAACCGGTTTGTCTGCCACGCAGAGGTTATTCCCGGGCCTAGAGAAATATTTCTGGCCTACATTTATTATTTCGTGAGTTTGGGTGCAATTTGTGTATACTTGTTTTTTCAAACAAACCGGTTTGTTTGAAAAAACAAATATACGCGATTTAAATCCGGAAAAATAGTTTCATTTCCTATTTCGAATGTTACCTAAATAAATAACGCTAATACCCATAGCCCCGCACTACGGAAACCCTGTATCTGGTGCCATGGACACACATAGACAACCACAAATTGCACCCAAACTCACGAAATAATAATTATAGGCCAGAAATATTTCTCTAGGCCCGGGAATAACCTCTGCGTGGCAGATATGGAGGTAGTTTTAAGTTGTGAAATAGGAATGAATGTACAAATGTAAAAATGGCCTTTTTCAGGTGTTCGTGGCAGTTGGCGCGGAACCTCGGACAGACATAGCCCTTCCCTCGTATCTGGAGGTCGACCATGTCAACGGAGGGTATTTGGTCAATACAGAGTTAGAGGCCCGTAAAGACCTTTACGTTGTAAGCTTTTTATAATACTCGTTTACAATCACATCGTTTATAATCACATAAGACAGAGTGGGCAGATTTTTCCGTAGGGGCTAGAAAAACAGTTATTTTGACAGGGGGCTACATTTGAAAATTAAAAATTATTTATATCTCTTATCTCTATCTACAGGTATCTTAAATTATGCCGATGATTTTAAAGTTTTACTTTCTGTCCAAATTGTATTGCGTGTTGGTAAATAAAATAAGCGGAGTTTCTTTCTTTAATTTGAAATAAATAACATTATTATAACAATATTTCAAAAAGGTTCTGTTTCCAGTTTTTTTTATACTACTAAATGATGGGGCGGACAATTCGTGTGCCTGGTATGTAATGCCTAACAGTTGCAGTGTCACTCGGAGCGTTAAATCACAAAGTCCTGAGGGACACTGCCACTGCGCCCGAAACTTTGAGACATAAGTTGACAAGTCTTATGTATAGTTGTAATTCCATGCTCACATGTTGTTTATATGTAACGGATACATGGCGTTAATATTAACTAGTTGGATTGTGTCAGAGGTCGCCACTAGATAATTATTAAACGGCAATACCGAATATTGCTTTGTTGGCGCACCTGCATGATAGGTTAGGCAACAACGCGGGCGGGAGAACAACCATTTGACAGACGGATTATTTTGAACAGTGGTGGTGGAGTGCACCTCATTTAGAAACCTCTCGACTCGGGACACTGTCGCTGCGCCCGTCACACTGAGACATAATTTGACAAGTCCCATGTGCCTGTAATGTCACCAGCACCCTTACCCTTCAAAACCGGAACGTAGTAATGTTTACATTACTGCTTGGTGGCAGAAATAGGTAAGGTGGCTGAACTTCCCTGGACGAACTTCTACTGCTTTTAGTTTCACAATATTGCTTTCTGTTTAATTTCGCAGTATGCAAAGAATAGGTATGCACCCATTGACTTAGAAATAAATGGACGACGGGTCTAATACAAAAACCACGAAAAAAATGTCCCAAGTCAACCTATTTAAACATAGTGACATTTAAAGGAATATGAAGAAGCTAAAACGTTGAATTTAAATTGTAATGTCGTCGCAGTACTGTCTAATTTTGCTTGCTTCGCTGTCAGTTGAACAAACGAAGACTAAAGCGTGAATGACGCTCTGTATACGATTTTAACGCCCTATAAGTTCGGATACTTTTTAGCGCGGACCCGACGTCCGTATAATTGTAAGTCAATGTATGCACCTGATGTTTTGCTTTTCTTTCGCATATTTAAACATTTCTAGGTTCTTTGTCATCAATTTGTAGAATTTTGCTTAAATGTCTTACCTATTTCTGCCGCCACGCAGTAATGTCAGCTTTACTGTGTTCCGGTTTTGAAAGGTAAGGGTGCTTTCTGGTGAAATTACAGTCTTGTCAACTTACGTCTCAGGGCGACGGGCGCAGTGGCAGAGCCTCTCAAATCTTTGCGATCTGCGTGGCATTGTAACTGTTATGGACAGGCGTGCAGCTTATCATCAGGCGCACGACTTGTTTGTTCCGTCACTTGATATTGTTATAAAAAAAAGAAACCCGAAAATGAGTACGTAAGTTTCAACTTTTCTGTCCTCGCTACAAAGCAGTGTTTGCTGAGAAATAAAGTTTTTTTTAATGTTTTTATGTCGTAATGAATTAGAAAATTATATTGATAACCCAGAAATAACAATTATTTTATATGGTGATTGGTGTACAATTGTAAACTATGCATGAAAACATTGCGAGGAGACCTGAAGAGAGGAGGAGAATGTCCGTAAAACTCTTCGAAGGAGTCAGAAGTCCTCCACAAGCATTAGACTAAGATGGTAGGTTGCGTAATGGCTTTGTGTAAAGCACCACCAAAGATCGGAATGCACATAGAGCGCGTAATACCTTCTCTGTAAACCCGGAATTATAAAAAATAAGAAGACAAAAAATATTATAAAATAATCACTTTTTTAGTTACAATTATACAAGTTTCTAAATACACAACCGTAATAAGATAATTGCTATTTTGCCCAAAAATGTTATGCAATGATTCCATGATTTCATTTTCATTTTGCTTTTTTGACTTATTACTAGAGACAAAAGGTGTTCTGATCGATTTTCGTGCTGTAGCTTTCTAGAGCCGCACGGTGTCACCATAAAAAAAAGTATATAAATATTTTTATTACCAAAGTAATTAGGGGCAACGTGTGTCTCTAAGCGTAACGGGTTAAGGATCAAGTAAAGCGACGAACAATTTGTACGCCTGGTGGTAAGCGACACTCCTATATACAGTGTCAGAGCTTAAACCGCAAGTGGCGCACTGTCACCCTTTTTTTTTTTTTTGACGGGGGGGAAATCTTTATGGATACCTCTGAGCCCAGGGAGACTCAGGGGTTATGTGGAGGGCCTACCCCACTAAAACCCCCCCCGGGTTTCCCTCTCGCCGGTTGAGTCGGCGCCGTGGGATCAGTGAACATTCACCACGACGCCGCCCGGATACGCACTGTCACCTTAACCTAAAACATAAGTTGATAAGTCCCATGTGCCTATGGTTACACCACCACTGTTTGGCTTTTAAAACCGGGACGCTTACATTACTGCTCGGAGGCAGAAATAGATAATTAAGATGTCAGTTAGGAGTCGATACTACATCAGCTCGAATTCTAATTTTTCCCTGGCTTGGCTTATTTCAGAATTAATTTATTTTACAAACGGAATTAACGCCATTTTAAAAATGTATATCGTATAGTACCTATACGTGTTCTCTTTAGTTCAGTTGATATAAAAAAAAAATCATTGGTATATGTAAAGTACCTATTCAATACAGTGGTTTTCTTGTAAAATTTCGAGGTAAGTTTGTGTTTTTTTCTTTTCTTGGTAATCAGTGTATATCTTCTGTTTTTTCAAAGTGTTTGTAGCCATTTGAGGTTGTGTCGACTCTTAAATACAAGGAGCTCTATTATGACTTTACTTAATATAGGCACTGTGTGGAATGAAACTATTTTTCCGGATTTAAATCGCGTATATTTGTTTTTTCAAACAAACCGACGTTTCGGGCCCTTTACAGGTCACGGTTGACTGAGGTGGTACAGTCTTCAACCAGTTATGTCTAATATTAATGCAAACCACCCTATTTTTTCACTATAGTTACAATAGTTATTAATTAAATACCTTATTTTTAATTTTACAAAGAAAACATTCCAATTTGCGATTTAAATCCGGAAAAATAGTTTCATTCCTATGTATAACAATCGCGAAAACCTAAGAACTCGATAGGCACTGTGTGTTTGTTTCGGTCTCTGATTACGACTAATACGCGACAGGCCGGCGACGCAGCAAGCGTATATTCACAGTGGAAAGACACGCGGATCCGAATGGATCATTATCACACAGCGGAGCAGCAAGGGATCATCGCAGGCGCTAACATGACCGGTTTCTGGACGCCCTGTAACATAGAACCGCACTTCTGGCTCAGGCTCAAAGATGACATACAAATGGAGGTACCTAGCTGTAATTACAAGCCTATTCACCAAATGAACTTTTCTATATACATTTTAAGGCTTTCGTGGTTATTTATCGAATGATTATCACTAGTTATGGGTTTCTTACCACGATATGATTTCTTTTTATTTTCCCGAAATTTCGGAACAGTTAGACGCCCCATGGCATCGAGTATATGACCAGAAATAGAACGAAATGTTGTTTAATTTGTTTGAAAACTATTCTGCCAAATCATTACGGTGACAACTGTGCTCCGATTGGCCTGCTCGAATTCGAAGTAATTGACGGGCGTTGTCAATTGTTTCACTTCATAATGACCAGCTTAACTTGAGCTTTGCTATAATGGACGAAAATTGAGAACTTACATTATTTAATTAACGATGAAATGTGATTCCGTTTGTTTTGTAATTAGATGTTTTGCAGTTTTTCCCACACCACCGAATGGAACAGCCCCCCATTGTTATAGATATTAACTTTGTTACAATAAATATATAATATTTTTGGAATATACGGAGACACAGGTCAGTTGTTGGCGCTTTGCTATTTCAGCATTCTAATTTCGTAATTAATATAATGTAATTTCAGTGCAAACGAGGGTTGATATTTACAAGTGATATAAGGCCCATTTGCCTGTTGAGTTGCCAGGGATGGATGGCCTTATTTCGTCTCCATTTCTAGTTATATACTCGATGCCCCATGGTCGTGAGTTGATCGGCAATCGGCAGATAACTGCTTTAAGAACAGACATATCTGTCTATCCTCTTTCGGTGTTAATGATTTTTAGATTTATAGATTATAGATATATATTTGTTAGAAATATTAGTATAGTAAAATACCAGAATAAGGGTCGTATTCTAGAATTCTACTCAATGCTCAAGTCAGGATTGCAATTGAAACACGAGCACTGGAAATACGACCCTAATCAGGGACTTGAGTATGATTTCGAGTGCTTTAAACCATACTCAAATCCTGACTTGTGCATTGAGTACAGTTCTGGAATACGACCCTAAGATAGTTAAGTCCTTTATTAATACGTGTTTTGGAAAAAAGTTGCTTTGGAAAATTAAAAAGAAAAATTATAGAATCATATTTATAAAAAAGATGTTAAGATCTATCATCATTTGGTTTCCTATATTGATCAGAATCGAGAAGTATGTTGTATGAAGTGAACATCGCTAATCGTAAAATTTGACCAAAAACTTGACAATGCGGCCGTACCACGAAACTGAATGCATTATACGAAAGTATCGTTCGTTCGATATTTATGGTCTACAAGAATGGGCCATAAGTGTACCGCACCAAGAAAGAGCCGCTGTGTATTACGAATCACACGGCGTACACTCGTTTGCATATTTATTTTCTCAAAATTCAAAATCAAAACGAAAAATTGATTTTAAAATAAATTTTGCACATTCTGAATGCATAGTGACTTAACTGTACAATTAGGCGTTTTTGGCGTTTTCAAATGATGTTTGACTACAATATCGGCCGGACGCGTTTTGAAGCGTAGCAGCGGCAACTAGCGTTTATATCTTACATTGGGCACGAGAAGTACACTTGCGGCGGCTATTTAGGTATTATATGTCTGTGAGTAGGTGCCAACGTATCTTTTTGGATAAAACTACCAGCTTAATGTGTCGTGGTGCAGGTGGTGGGCGAGGTGGGCGCGTGCATGCCGACAATCGGGATCTTCAAGCCGTGCGATAACGACCCACTCGGGCGCAAGTATGAGCTCAAGATCGGCGAATTCGACAAACCTTGCTACAAAGAGTGAGTACTTGGAATCTTCTTATATCAGGAACAAACATAGATGCTGTATAATATCGTGTACAATACACGAGCAACTCAATATCTACTTTCCGTTCTGAGGTCAATTCACTTACGATAGAAAGAACAGTAGGTAAGAACGAAATTACTTTATATCGAATAACGGTCGCAAACACTTTAGTATTCTAAGAATCATAATATTTTTTTTATAACATCAAATGACGGGACGAACAAGCCGTGCGCCTGACGGTAAGCTACACGTCTATCCATAACAGTGCCAATCAGAGCTAGAGCTTTAAATTGCGAAGATCTGAGACTACCATTGCGCCCGTCACCCTGAGACGTAAGTTGACAAGTCTCATGTGCTTGTAATTTCACCAGCACCCTTACCCTTCAAAACCGGAACACAGTAATGTTGTAAGGCAATGTAAATTACTGCTTGGGGGCAGAAATAAGTAATATTAATAATATTTATTCACCAAGCCACATCACGCAACATTTAGCATGTTAAGGTACAATTTTTTGATCTTTTAATGCACTCCATAACTTAACCTCTAAAAAAATTCTCACGATAGTCCTTGGTATCTCCACATGCAAGAGTAGTCGGAAGCTGTTTAAATCGTGAAGTCGCATGCGAAGACAAATGGGGCAAAATTTTGATCCAAATTTTAATTATGAACGATAGTATTTTTTTACTGAAATGATAACGATAACGCATTACATTCAGTTAATTCAATCACACAGACTTGCAGCCTTTTTGTTTAAGTTGGAGAAACTTACGTTAATTTCGAATAGCAACAACTGCACTGAAAACACACATTACTTCTTCTATGAGCATACTGTGGCAGTTGTTGCTAGTAAGGCTTGTATAGTTCATGAACTACGAACTGTTAGGAATATATTCTCGACACTGACCGATATGAACCAGTTCGTCTTGCACGGTTTTAATAGTTCATCGTTCTTTTTAGTTCAGTATGAACTAGGAACTGTCTGCGTTGATAGTTCACCTGTCTTTTATTCAGTAGGAACGGTGCGAGCGGGACAATAGCGATCTTTCACTGCTTTTAGTAAAACCACATTAGTGACATTTTCCACAAAAAGTCTTTAATTGATATACTTATGGTAAGAAAATGACTATCTTTCTGCACGTCAAACTCAATAACAAAAAAGCTATAAACTTAATACGTAATTTAATAATAATTTTTTGTGGAAAGTATCATTCATGTGGTTTTACCTTTAAGCAGACGATATCAACCTACGTGTACGAGTATATGAAGTAGTTGTACCTACATTTTTATTTTTAAACACACCATTCTAAGTACCGATTCCATACAAATTGTATTTTTAAATATTTAGCACGCTGTAACTATGGACCTCATAATACTAGAAGTCCGTAGTAGTTCATGTGAATAAAATTAGTAGTTTGGAGCGTTCGTTCAACGCGAGCAAGGACAAGACGAACTAAGGTACTTGTAGAATTAAATGAACTAGAAGACCGACCTAGTTCATTTGACCGATTGAACTAACCAGGATCGCTCCCTGTAAGGACCGATCAGGCACAAGTCTAGTAAAAGTATTTGAGTATTTTAATGGCAAATTTACAACGCCTTCTAGTGGTCGCAAGACGAAGTAACTTTTTACATCTATATATTTTAAGCGGTTGCTAGCGATAATGTGACTCAAGGTACAGGTACTGCGGGCACATTCTCGCTTAAACGTACCTATTGCTTATTGATTACTAATTCATAATCGTATTGAAAGTTTAACTATTGAAAACAAAATAGTTCCATATTTTTCCAAAAGATGGCGTCTGAAAGTATGCAATAAGACGTGTGTGGTAATCACCACAGGTCGTAAAAAGGTGTTCCACATAACATAGATTACATATATAGATATAGTTACAAGGAGCGACATAGTTGTTGAAACCACCAAGTATTAGTTAATTACTTTTTCGAATTCTGGATTTCCGGATGAAAGAAAATTCTATCTTTATTCTATTCGTGAAGATAAATACCGTTATTGACAACGTTGTCAAAAATGGCACTGCTTCGTCGTGTTGCAGCAGTTTTTTTTAATAAAAAGTATTAAAATAATCCAGTGTGAACATTTTCTTTTTAAAATACGACATTTCTGCTAGTGGTTCGAATTTATGAACATCTACATGCTATACCGTGTTTTTGAATGTAAATAAAATATTTTTAGAGCGCGATCACGATTCTCATGCGAACTAATATGTCCTAAAATTCCTCTCGTAAATAAAATTTTAAAGAATTCTTTTTCTTAAGTTCTACTAGCAAATGTCGCGGTTCTATCAATGTGACCGTCAATTTAAAGCTAGGGAGGGGCGGAGAGTGACCATACTCGTTACTTTTTATTTTCTGTTTTGGCAAGAAGGTCAGTTATCTACTGCATTATTTACATGGCACCATTACAATTATTTTAAAATCCAATTTCGACTTCCTAGGTCAGTAGTTTGTCCTACGATGCAGTAAAACCATTACCGGAAATCCGGAATTCGAAAAAATAAATAATATTTGATGGTTTTAATAACTCTGTGTCGCTTCTTGTAGCTATGTCTATACATGTATCTATATATGTGGTACACCTTTTTCCGACCTGTGGAGATTACCACGCACGTGTCATTGTACATTTTCAAACGCCATCTTTTGGCAAAATATGAAACTATTTGGTTTTCAATAGTAACATTTCAATATGATTATGAATTCAAAGATAGAACACACAGAAAACTCTCGTGAACCCGGTGGGAGTTGAACACGCGTCTATGCATTGCTCTAAACATCTGAGCCACAGTGTTTTAGTTATAGGTCTTTGTATTGACTTTCGGCATTCGTCACCGCTAGTGACATCTAGTGAGAGATTTTTGGATAACCTTCTCACCGCAGCCGATGCAATGTTTTTAAAATTTCTATATGTTTTGCAGCACCGAGGAGTACAGAAACAGATATAAACGCGGCATGTTGTTTTACCTGCGCGACGAGGTCGTCGTCGGCATGTTATTCTGGAACTTCCCGCCCATCGAAGACCGATACGAAGTCTGCACAGAAGTATATGCTTTTTTCACAAAATTACAGTGTACTAATTATATCGAGTGTATAACCAGAAATAGAGACGAAATAAGGGCCATCCATCCCAGGCAACTCATCAGACAATTGGCCTTTGTATCACTTTTAAATAACAACTCTAGTTTGCACTGAAGTCACTAAATGAAAAGCTGAAATAGTGCAGCGCTAACAACTGACCTGTGTGTACGTCTTCGTATATTCCAAAAAACGTTCAGTATTTATTGTAATAAAGATAATATCTCAAACTATGGGGGCTGTTCCATTCGGTGGTGTGGGAAAAACAGCAAGACAAGACAAACGGAATTACATTTCATCGGTAATTAAATATTAAATATGTAATTTTTCAATTTTCGTCCAATATAGCAAAGCTCAAGTTATACTGGTGGATTTGAAGTGAAACAATTGACGACACCCGTCAATTGTTTCGAACTCGGGCTAGCCAATCGGAGAGCAGTTGTCACCGTAATGATATGGCAGAATAGTTTTCAAATAAATGACATTTCGTCTCTATTTCTGGTTATATACTCGATGACTAATTATAACTCCGGGAAATTTAGCTTAGCTAGAATGACATATGACAAACATGAACAGTGATGGGACACGTTCAGTTAAATTGAGAATCGATGTTAAAATTAATCAGTGTATATATAATATACATATATATATTAATATCTATTGTTGACCATGGGTTTACAATTATATTTTCGCATTTTTGTACGAGTTTTCCTCTCGTCACTTGTACCATAAAAAAAAATTGTTTGTTCCAGATGTTGCGAGCGAGGCCAACGTACAAAGATATCAATGTGCTGGCGGAGCTGTTGGGCTTCGAGGGTTTGCAATGTGTCTACATCCCAGAAACAGAGATAAAGCCTCCTTCACCGTGTATCAAAAAGTATGTTCCGAAGTACCTACCATCATTACAAATATCGGAATAGCCGGATTGTTATAATTATTAATACAAAGATCGAACACTCAGAAAAAATTCCTTCGATCCGGATTCGAACCGATGTCTTCTAGCTTACCGTGTCAGACGCTATACCAACTAAGCAACGGATCTAACCAGCGGACCTTACCAATTTTTGCGTCTTAGTTTTAGTGTTTGCGTCGTATCTTTGTATTTCGTTTTTCAACGACTTTTTAGTCGTAGCGCCATCTATGAGAAATCTGTATTTCATCACCCGGTTAGATACCTTTAAGTCGCGTAGATGTCGCTATTCATTGTATTTAAATTTTTATTGAATTAATATTCAATTGTTTTTATGTGAAATTACTTCACTATACTCTAGCCAAATTCGATGTAGAATGTTTAATAACAAAACGTTGCTAGGCAACCAATGATGGCATAGGAAAAGAACATTTTTTTCAATGCTCATTATTAAGGCTTGCTCTGCCCACGGCCTGCTCCCTTAATTGGAATTTAAATAGGTAAGTAAGTAATTGGGTTATGTAGAAGTAATATTTACCTAGACAATTATTATAAAATTTACAAAATACCTATTGATACGTATGATTTAGGAATAAAAATAAGTGTTTGCGTCCTATTAATATTTACTGCTAGATGGTAAGTAATGGTAGATGAAAAGAAACAAAATTGTAAGATTTTATTTGATATTAATTTACCACATTTAAAATCATCCAGCATCTGTTTCCGATTCTGAACTTGAATTACCACTAGAACTCGAATGTTTTCAATCTCTCACTTCAAATCAAAAAGTCACTAGGGATGACACAGTTATACAAATAATTAATTACTGGTCATTTTTAGGTGATTTGAAACTTCTGTTGAATAATATTCATTATAAACATGGCTTCAAGATTTAGTATTATCCACAATGTAGTTGAATTTCGTAGGAAATTATTGAAATTGTATAGTAACTGTGAAAGATCTGAGATGAAAACCCTAAAAATCATACGTTTTTGTTTTTTTGACATTAATTCTACATCGAATTTGGCTAGAGTATAGTTATAATTATTAATACAAAGATCGAAAACTCAGAAGAAAAGCCAGTCTGGACTTTATCTGAACTTTAAGTAGTAAATATAGAGTGGATAATAACTCCCTCTGAAATCTCGGAATTACTAAAAAAGGCTAAATTCTAAACAAAATAATTATAATACAAACTCTTATAGGTACAAAATATTTACAATTACAAAATTTTTACAATTACAAAATATTTACAATTACAAAATTTTTATTCTAAACACGCATGCTACCGTTGTAAAGTGATTGCTAATTAGACGGCAAAGATTTAGAACAGTGGGAGGTATTAGTCATTCTATGTGTATTGTTTCCTTGAATTTTATTTTAATTTCTTTGTGTTTTCAGTTCAAAATGGATGCCGTACCCGGAGTACGATAAAATACGCGAGCTTTCCAATTTCGAATTCTACAAAGGGCCGCTCAAAATGCCTTCGGATTCAGAAGTCGAGGAAAATTCGCCGAAACAAAATGCCGTATAGGGTTTGCCGAAAGAAAACAACAGCATTAACCGCCGTTAATTCAGCAAATTGACCTGTATTGTGAACGTAATTAGTAGTGAAATTAAACAATTGTGTTGTATTTTGTATTTGTAAAGCGCTACATATTAGCTGATGAAATATTCGCGTTAAAAAGTTTCAAATTGTACTCTACAAACCTCATTGTTCCGACCAAATGTTACTTTTGTGAATAAATACTATTTATTACGCAAGGAATGTACCACCAAATCAGCGGCGTGAGTGTTGAAATTAAAAACAGCAGGCCCGCAGCCGCGACGGGCTCGGGATTGGGTTGTGCGGGTGTGGGTCGGTCGGAGGTCTTCATTATCTTGGCCATGCATTCAAATTTCGTAATAAATAAATGTACCTAAGCCTCACTGCATTATTATTCCTGCTGAATTATAGAAATCAAACAATTTAGTCAAGTAGTAAATATATAATTCAGTTAAAATCCGTTCTCATTCTCGTGATCGGGTTTCCAAATTTTCCCGAAGTCCTTAATAATCCAATGCGCAGAAGAGCGCCACGCCGCGCTTGATCCAGTGCGCCTGCGGCTTCTGCGTGGGCAGCTCGATGGTCATGACGTAGTTGGTGGAGTGCCCCGTCGTGGACAGTGTCCCGGCGCGAAGCAGAGTCTTGTACGTCGGACATTCGTACAAGCCCTCCTTCAGCTTGTGTTCGCGCTCCGGTTTCATGTAAATTATCGCCATTTCTGTGGAAGTACAGGCACTTACTTTTGTACTTACCTACCTAGATTCATGCAATATGCTACGAAGTATATCTGTGAATTGTAGCAATCTGCCGTGTAAGCGTATTATATAGGTGGTGGACTTACAACTTGGAAGTTACAAAAGTCTCAACCACCCATACGCTTACAAGGCAGATTGATACAATTCACAGGTCTTCATCGTAGCATATTGCATTAATCAATAAAAGTACAAATACATCGTAATTTATTGAGTCAATATGATACTGATGCAATAAGTTACGATGATGTACACGCCACTCTGAAATCTCAACAGATTTAGTCTTATTTCCCAGAAACTAACCAGCAGATCGAGCTGGAGATTCTTTTACCTTGAGAGTATTAATAATACATTTTTTTTTAAATAAAATAAGTATTTATAGTTATTAAATAAAAACTGGTAATTTGAGGTACATCCGCCATATTGACTGTCAATTCTTTGATATTGCTATAACTTCGTCCTGACGGAGGTATATTTATTTAAACACAGGCACTAAATAGTACAAATTAGGTAAATTTTTTTGATATCAAATTTGTCACGAACCGTTAAGGTACACCCGCCATTCTGACTCTCACAACGAATTGGTATCAAGGTATCAATTATAATAGTGGCACCTGTACCATTAAAGGTATAATGTAGTGGTACTTATAAGATCCAGTTGGTCCGAAGGTCGAGCACTGAGGGCTTCGGAATTTCACTGGTTGTACAGTCGTGAAATTGTTGATTGCAACCTGTAACGAGACGATTGGAGGCCTATGGCATACCGGTGTACAACTCCTTGGGTTTGGACTCCTCCAGAGCGAGTTCCGCGCTGTTCCAGCGGGCGCCTTCGAGGAACAGCCCTCGCACGCAGCAGCCGTCGTCGGGCCGCTTGGCCGGCGCAGCGGACATCGGCTGCGGGTTAGGTTTTCTGTTTGCTTACTCTGGTCGATCCATATTCAAATGGATAATTTAACTATAAAATCATTTGAAAAGAAGATGCCTGATATTACGAGTGTTTATTATTTTCGGCATAAAAATAGAACTAAGGGCTCTTCTTACACATAAACACGATACGACGTCGCGTCGTAGCATGACGATGTCCTACCTTAGCGAGCCCTAAGGGCTCTTACACATACGTACTTGGATGACAAAAATCCGTGGTAGTAACCCGTTTAGCTCATGGAGGTAGTCTCGATCTCTGATGTTTCAAATAAAAAAATAAATATTGTAAATGTTATTTACAAAGAGCAACCCCTAGAGTTTCTTGCTCATTCTTCTCAGGGGAATCTGCCTTACGAATGAGCGGTAGAGTTTAATATTGTGACGATTTCAAGTGTAATAATGCTTACCTATGAAATAAAGATTATTTTGAATTTGAATTTGAATACCTCGTAGCGCGACGCGACGTCGTATCATGTTTACCTGTAAGAGCCCTACGCCAATATTGCTACTTGGAATGATTTGTCCCCTAATGGATTCTCTCTGTGGAGTCCGTCATTATAATAAGGGATCCCTGTGTAAAATGGACGGAGGGGATTTTTCCCACTAGTTATATTATTATTAAAATACAATCCCAGTAGTTATACTATAATAAGACTGAGTACTCTATGAAACTAGTGATAACGAATGAAGATGTGTCAAGGTCTTTCTCAACTTCTAAGTTTCGTCTTTCCTCACCTATTTTATTATTTATAGCCATTTTACGTAGTGTTATTATTTTTACATTTTTCTACGAAAGTATATAATTACATATTATTAGTATATGTTTTGGTTGTACCCTCTTTGCATGCCAACAGAGACTCAACCATTGTTTAAGCATATGAAAAAAGAATGGGAGGCACTGTATGACCTCTTAGCTTTTGCTATGCTTATGCTGTGTGCTTTACAAGCTCAACTGAAACAATTTGAATTAAAAACACTTGTGCGATTGTTTTTATGTGCGACCGCCATCTCACTCACGATATCTATGTATGTATTAGCGTTCTTTGCTCGCCTATCGCAATTGTAAAGGGGTTAGAGCATTTGCGCACTACGACGTCCGATTCGTATCAGGGGGTCTAGTCTCGATCTCCGTTCGAAACAATTACTGCCAAATAAGCAATATTTGACCAAATGAAAAGACGCGCGATGTGAATGAAGCTTCATACTGGATACTTGTCTTTTTGTCGAATATTACTTATTTGACAGTAATTGTTTCGGACGGATGTCAGACGGAGATCGAGAGTAGCCCCCCAGTTCCGAATCCGAGAAATGACCGTCCGAAATGTCCCAGGTGTCCGAAGTGCCAAGTGAATGCCACCAGTATTTTTCTACATTAGTTCTATTGGTTTTATGGGTAAATCTCTCACAACAGAACGAACAAACGTCTATTGTTCCCTTTTAACAACTAATCACGTACAACAATTTTTCTACTAAAAACACTGAAAATTTAAACTGAAACTGCCTCCGTGGCCGAACGGTTACCATGTCGGACTGCCACGCAGAGGTCCCAGGTTCGATTCCCGGGCCGGGAGAAATAGTTGTATGGCCTACAATTATTTCTCTCGTGAGTTTGGGTGTAATTTGTGGTTGTCTATGTGTGTGTCCATGGCACCCGCGACACAGGGTTTTCCCTAGTGCGGGGCTATGTTGAGTGTGTGCGTTTTTTTTTTTTTTTTAAAATTAACCCGTACCCGTTTAGTATAATTTAGTATAATCACCTCAAAGGCATATCCGATAGTGTCGATGGCGATGACGTGCTTCCGGGCGTAGTTCTGCAGCGCGCCGGTGAGGAAGGCCTGAGGGAAATAGAAGCCCGAAATCCAGAACACCTTGGGGATACCCGTGTCCACCCACTGCTGCATAAATACCACTCGCAGACACATGTCTTTCACCCAGGCCGCTGCAAAAAACGTCTGATTTGACCGGAGCGTCTCGAAGGAATTAAAAACAAGTTCGACGGCCCCACCGAATAAACGTGTAAAGGAATTTGAAAAAAAAAAAAAAATTACTCATTGGTGATTGGACTATACTTAAATATTTATTTAATTTATGTATGACCAAATTAAATATAAAAAACATTATATTTTATATTAAAATATGAAAACCGAAAATATTTATATTTTTTGAAAATTTATCTCGGATATTTGACAAACCCCAGGTCCTTGCAAAAGAAGTCCGTTATCTACCCAGGATGCTGCGAGAGGCCATTGAAATTAAAAAACACCCTAAGTTCAAGAGGGAAGATGGTTTCGTCGTACCACCAGGTTGGGATCCAGTAGTTACTCTGATGAAAAATCCCAAACAGACATAAGACTTCAGTACCACAGCAATGTTTTAATTTGTTCTAATTACCATTATTAATTAATAATAAATTTAACTTAATAAAAAATCATATTGTTAAAATAAAATAATTTGTAATATAGATGTAGCGTAAATTGGAATGTTCTATGTTAGGGCACTGTCGGTTCGAGGCAATACGTTGGCTCACAGATTCACGCGATGTACAATTGGAGTGAAACTTACGCTCTTCAGAGCATACTGCCAAAGTTTCTACACGTGTGCTCTGTGGTCTAATTTCACACAGAGATCGTACAGTGCCTTGCGAATCCAATATAATAATACCTTTAGGGTCTTGTTGAGGCTTCCACGTTTCTGCAGCGCATCTGGCATGTTTGCGGATGCTGCTGTTAAGGATTTTTATGCCATCATGCGCAAAATGTCTGCAGCGCTGGTACAAAGGGTGAGGGGAAGCAATAACAAGATCCTAAAGCTAATTGCAAACAGGATGGATGCAGCAGTTTTCCAGAGGTTCATCGAATTGCATGTACTGCGTGCGAATCGGTGAGCCGCTTGGACAGCCGGGTCCGTCTCATTTTATTTTTAATTTTATTCATTTTTGGTTATGTAATTGTACTAACCCTAATAACTAGCATAGTTATAAGTTGTTATGTTACTAACCTACTAATTTATATGGATTACTGTGGTCCGAAATAAAAGATTTTTATTTTATTTTTTATTTTATTTTATTATGTAAAATTAAAAATATTTAATTAATAACTTTTGTAACTATAGGGAAAAATAAGATGGTTTGCATTAATATTAGACATAACTGGTTGAAAACTGTACCACCTCAGTCAACCGTGACCATGGGACCTGTGTAGAGCCCGAAACGTTGGTACATACGCGATTTAAATTCGGAAAAATAGTTTCATTTCCTATGTGTAACAATCGCAAAAACCTAAGAACTCGAAAATATTGATACTTTATCAGAAATTAATAAAAAATCCTCTTAACTTTTTATTCTACCAAAAATTGATTAAATGCAAAAAGCCGTAAACGCTTTCACGCGTTTATTCGGTGGGGCATCGATTTTACAATTGAGGTGGGTGTTTGCGACTAAGTTCTACGGGACAAACAAGTTGTGCGCCTGATTGTAAGCTACACGCCTGTCCATAACAGTTGCAGTGCCACTCAGAGCTTTAAATTCTGAAAAGGTCTGAGGGGCACTGCACTGCGCCCGTCACCCTGAGACATAAGTTGACAAGTCCCATGTGTCTGTAATTTCACCAGCACCCTTACCCTTCACAACCGGAACACAGTAATGCTGACATTACTGCTTGGCGGCAGGAATAGGTAGAGTGGCAATACCCTGGACGAACTCTTTCACAAGGAGCTCTACTAACGAAATGCACTAGTAACGACGTAATTATGGCAAAGTTTGCACTTTACCGTATTTAGCTAACGTCTGTTTATCAACCTACTTATAAATCTCACTGGGCACGGATCTCTTCCCAGGCGAGGTTTTAAGCCGTAGTCCGCCACTCTGGCTCGATGCGTGTAAGGGACTTGTGAACCTTCTTTGACGTGCAGATTTCATCACTATATGTTGCTTCACTAATCTGCCCTCGTAACGAAAAAAGGCACAACAATGCGTACTTTACACAGCAGTTGTGCCTTTTTTCGTTCCGAGGGCAGTAATAAGCTCATGGTCAAAGGAGTTGTTCCTTTAGTGGTACTAAAATAAATGGAAAATTGAACCAGGCTATTAGTTGGTTTTTTGTAAGGAGCTCTCAAAATCTAGAAAGTCCGAATTAAAAACAAATTATTTTTGATTTGCAATTTCCAGAAAACCGTTAGGGAATTTTAATGCTATGTAAAGTAAAACGGAACGCAATCCCACGAAACGGAACTGTTTGTTATGTAATTTTTTGGGTAATCCGCCAGTGGCCAATGCCATAAAAAATATTAACACATCAGATGTGAAAGCCATTCTTGTTGCAATTTAATTAGCCAACTAGAATAATGTTTTTGAATATTGTAACATTTAAGTGTTGCTGCTTTCTTTCCAAGCTTTTATCTGGCAAAAAAATTGAGGCTGGTTAAATTTTTCTGGGAATAAAGTACCAAGCTCCATACTAATTCGGTACAAGTCCTTTCAAATTAAATTTCATACAAATTCCGAAATCTCAGACGTACGTGTCCGGATCCCGACACACGGTCTCTACTTTAAGGCTACCACGGCTTTTATAGATATTAGTTCGATACAACACTGAGTGTGCTTTGTGCGTGAGTGTTACCGAGCGGCTTGAGACTAGGATAGGCTTTGGAACTCCACATGACGGGCACCACGTTCTTGGCAAGGCTGTTGGACATGCTCTCTAGTGCTTCAGACATCACCACCAAACCTTTGAGTGCCTTCAGCAGGTCCCTATCAACAACAAATAGTATTTGCTGAGGCCAGGAGTAAGGATTGCTGGACGAGTATGAGTTATAAGGACGAGCTCCAGCGAGGCCTTGTATTAATGCAAGTCAAGCAATCCCCGTTCCCGCCGAGGCATGCATAGTATTTTTCTCAAACAATGTGAGGAAATAATAAAAGACTAAAGAGACGAAGGTGTACTAGAAAAAGCAAAAACAATAATTTATTAATAATAAAAGTAATATTTGACGTGTTAGAGCAATGACTAAAAGAAAATATGACTGTTTTTCCAGGCATATTAATAGTACTTTTATACTGAAAATGAAGGATAAAATAATGTGTTTAATCACGTATGCAACGCAACGTCCATGGTCTCGAAAGCCATAGTCAACTTTTTGGTCAAGTGTGGGTTGTCCATAAAAATGAATAAAATTGATCAAAATTTTTTTTACTGCTAAGAACGCGACGCAGTTTCATGAAGGGATCATTTTACTGTATGGGACGAAAAAAAGTCGAGACAGCCGAAGTTGGTCAAATTTCAAATAAATATTTTTCATAAAAATTGATTAAAATTAACTAGTTTTTTTGTAAACTGGTTAACTCACGGTTGACCTTAAAATCGACTATGCAAAAATTGTTTTCACAAAAAAAGACTTAATAGTTCCTAAGACAGTTTCCTTGTATCTGCTATGGTTTCGGATTTCCCCACACTGTCTCATTAAAAAAAACACTGTACATTTCAATTAATTTACTCACTGCAATGAAGATCGTATAACTGTCAAAAGCTTATTGTACCGGATTGCTTCTTGAACTAAGACTGTGTTGAGCGATTCTTTGTACGACACTGGGTATCTGCATGACATAAAGTAAAAGTTAGACAATACAATATCGCCGTTTGCTGAACTCACTTAACGTGGTTAAAAGAGGTAATCGGGTATATAACCAATAATCTCAGTACAGAGTACTAAAAAAACCGACCTCAAAAGTACGTGGAATTACGTCTATTTGCTAAGTTTTATTGAAATATCTCCTAGTTCGCCACTATACAGGACTTGACGCTGGAGATAATAAAAATAGATTCTCACTACGACACTAGTCAAAGTGTATTGAGAGAAAAACGCCTTGAATGGAGGAAATAGCAAAATCAACCATTAAAGTAATTGCTCCTAAATTAAAGTTAGGCGCTATTTATAAAAGTGAATCTTCATGCGTGAACAGCCACCCTTCAAGGTGGATGATTTTCTTCAGAATGAAATGGGACCACTATGGAAGTACCCCCTTTCCAACAAAAAAAGAATCATGAAAATCGGTTCACAAATACCGGAGTTATCGCGTAACATACATACAAAAAAAAGAACATACAGTCGCATTGAGAACCTCCTCCTTTTTAAAGTCGGTTAAAATAGAGGCGGAATAAGGGCCCCATCACTGGCAACTCATCAGGCAAATGGGCCTTATATCACTTTTAAATATCAACTCTCATTTGCGTTGAAATCACAAATAAGAAAGCTGAAATAGTACAGCGCCAACAACCGGCCTGGGTGTACGTGTCCGTATATTCCAAAAATATTCTGTATTTATTGTAATAAAGATAACTATAACAATGGGGGGCTGTTCCATTCGTTAGTGTGGGAAAATTGACGTTACTGCTTGGCGGCAGAAATAGGTAAGGTGGCAGTACTACACTTTACGAACCCTTTGCTGCTAAAGTTGGAAGTGAAACAATTGACGACACACCCGTCTCTGTTTCGAATTCGGGCTAGCCAATCGGAGCGGAATTATCACCGTAATAATTTGGCAGAATAGTTTTCAAACAAATTAAATGACATTTCGTCTCTACTTCTGGTTATATACTCGATGAAAAAGGTTTATAAAACGACCAGCTTTATATAGTTGAGGAAATATTATTTGCCCCGATGAGTGTTATCTCTAGGAACGGCAGGGCGTTGTGAACGTACTTCCACGTTGTTTTTATTGCGATATTTTCCTTCACGTTAGCGAGAAGCGTTGCTGCAAAATGTTTAAACACATATATGCCGTCACAGGAATTCTAACTGTCCACCTCGCAATTGAGAAGGAACCGCTCTCCCAACTGGATTACCAAACCTCTCAATTTCAGAAATCAAAACACAAAAAATGGTGTCCAAATATCAACAGCCAAGTTCTGGACTCCAGCTTTCTTTCTTTTTTTAATGTTTCCTTGTCCCAGTGGTCACTTGTCCCTTTGGAGTTAATTCTATTGTATACTATGTAAAGGCATGATAATGTGCTTATTATCAACCAAAGAAGAAAGGAGAGTCTAGTCGAAAGCGTCTATAGAATTGTCATTGTTTTGATGAAACTCGGTGCGTTACACATATTGTCTAAGCAACTAACGTGGCAGATATGTATTTGACGTCAAGTAAGGCCGGCAGGACGTCAAGGACGTCTTTGGCCGCTTTTTCTGTCATCTCCTCAGGCGAAAGGTCTCCGGAAGTAGTGCCTACCGCTTCTTTTGGCTGCAGATTGCACAAGGTCCCTGTGGAGTCAGCTCAGATTTAGAGTACCACCACACTTATTGATAAGGTACCGCATTAAGTCGAGCTGGTCAGAAACATCCTTAATATGTATGTAATAGGTACGAAAAAGATGTAGCGCGTTTCGCAATGAGCGAAACTGAAATGACCAGTCTTCTTTGCTCTTATTGTAAGCAGTGGCGAAGCGTGGGGGGTATAGAAGGCGCCATGGATGGAGCGCGCCAGAGCCCTAACTAGCGATATAATACAAAAATTCTTTATTGTGCACCAACATAAATACAAATACAATACAGTAATTAAAATAATAAGACATAAGCGGTGGTACAATGGGCGGTCATATCGCTTTAAGCGATTTCTGCCAGACAACCTTTGGATGGAAGTAATTATAATTCATAGGAAACAGACGGCGGTGTATGAAGATTTAGTAAACGATAGATGGAAAATCAATAAATAATTACATATATGTAATACATATAATAAGTAATAAAACCAATACATTATATCATAAACTACTATATATTTCTATATTTATTAATAAAAACTTTTTTACTCAAAATTAGAAAATAAATGTCACTAATTGAGAAAACGAAATCCTGAAAGGTGGCGACGAAAGGCGGACATAAAAACACAGTCGAGCCGAGCCAGCCGGAACTTTAGTAATTATGTATTTTAGTAACCGTGAAAAATGTAAGCTGTCCCGCGTGGCATCGACAGAGGCAATCGACGCTACGCCACTGATTGTAAGGACTTAAATTGCTGACCGGCTCAAGCCGATGTCGTATTAATAAGTGTAGTGTGGTGGTCTTACTCCTTTAGTAACATCAACGGTATGGGTTCTTTATTTAAGTTTAATGTATTTACATTGAATTTCCACGCTTAACAATAAAGTAATGTATAATAATAATAATAATAATAATAACGCTCACAATCAACATAGCCCCGCACTAGGGAAACCCGGTGTCGCGGGTGCCATGGACACACATATAGACAACCACGAATTACACCCAAACTCACGAGAGAAACAAATGTAGGTCATACAAATATTTCTCCCGGCCCGGGAATCGAACCTGGGACCTCTGCGTGGCAGTTATGGTAACCGTTCGGCCACGGAGGCAGTTGAATGTCTACCGTTTGTATAATAAAGCCACATGATTGATCATGATAATATGTTTCTATTTTATATATATATATAAAATAGAAACGCGTATATATATATATATATATATATATATACGCGCATATATACGCGAAATTTTGTTTTATTACACTGAGGGTGCAAAGTGTTAAAGTTGTTGGTAAGTGATAATTGCATACCGGTGTTCAGGGTGTCGCCACCTCTGAGACCCCGAGTTCGATCTCTAATGTAGAAAATTAAATTTTCTATATTGCCACGGGTCTGGGTGTTTGTGGTATCGTCATTGTTTCCTATTTCCATAACATAAGTGCTTCAGTTACTTACTTTGACATCAGGGGGTCTACTCCCGTGCTCTGTCCGACATTCGTCACATACAATTATATCCAAATAAGTAATACTCGACAAATTGAAAAACGAATGATGCGAATGAAACTTCATACTCGACATTGAGTTTGAATTTGGTCGAGTATTACTTATTTGACATAATAATAATAAATCATTCATTTGTGAAAACAAATGAAGAATAGAAGCTGAGTTTTTCAAAACAAGTATAGTTTCACTGTGTCCGGCCATACATTAGGTATACAATTTTCTAATCTAAAAAAACACATCTCCAAATATTGCTTAACTTACTAAGATTGGTGTTAGTCTCGGACATGGCGTAGGAGATGTTGGCATTGGAATGCAACCCGAAGAGGGCCGGCTCGTCCGTCAACGGCAAAGTACGGATGTACTTCGTGTAGTCGTCGATAGACGCCGATGCATTTTGCTAACGACAACATTGTGTTTGATTTATTACCTCCATTTTCTAAATAAAGCTCAAGTTTCAGGGTCATACGGTGAAGCTGGCAAAAATAGTAATTTACAGTCGATGCTCGAAGACTCCTGACCCCATAACCTTGTATTTGATTCTGAGTAGATCTGGGTAGGAAGATGATTGAATACCTGTTTGTAGGCGCCGCTCTCATCGAAAGTGTACCGGTCGGACAGCACGTTGAGATTGTAATAGTCAGCGAGGAGGAAAAGCAGACAGCGCCGGTCCCAGTCGTCCGTCACGCGCCCGCCGTAGTTAATGTGCCCCGCAGTATATGTCAGCATCTTTGGCATTTAAGGGTCGTTAATTTTAGAATTTTACTGTGTTCCTAACCATTAGGGGCTTTGGCAGCGAGGGCAATGCATTTTATAGTCCTCTAAGTCAGATTATTTATCCATTTGACATGTTTGTTTTACTTATTAGTCTTCTTGGCGTATCGATTCTGACGTTTATATTTGTGAGGGCCAGTACTTAGAGACTGTGATAGCATTATCAGTGGCGTTGTACAGGTCATCGCGTGTGCAGGTGTAGGGACACGCAGGGCAGGACAAAAGATGTGCCATTGTCTGGGGAGAGACACCACACGGACATGCGCTCTCCTTATTAGGAACTTGTATATTTCAAAACAATTTTGATATAGTATTTTTTAAACAATATCCTACTACATTTAATTTTGTACAGTACTTTTCTCTTAAAAATCTCTTGGCAATCTTCGAGTTTCGGCTATCGATTAATCGACATTGACGTATGTAGTATCTAGTAGTAGGTACTCTATTTCGTTTATATTTCTGTGAACATCATTGTTAAGGAGTAACTGGTATTATTATAAAAAAGTAAAGTTCACATGAAAAAAAAACAATAATAAAGTACGTAGTTTTGAATTTCAATCAGATATTATACTATTATATATTGTTCTATATTATAGATATTATTCTGGTGCATTCGGAAATCCGAAGATCGCCGAGATATATTAAGGAAATAGTTTTACTCTTAGTTTATTTTCTTTTTATAATATCAAGTGACAGGACGAACAAGTCGTGGGCCTGATCGCAAGCTACACGCCTGTCTATAACAGTTGCAGTACCACTCAGAAGTTTAAATCGCGAAGATCTGAGAGGCACTGCCAACGCGCCCTGATACATAAGTTGACAAGTTCCATGTGCCTGTAATTTCACCAAATGTGCACTGTGAAAACATTTGTACATAATGACCTTTTTTTATACAATGTAACAGACAATCTTTGTGTAAGTTTAGCATGGTCTTACCCTAAGAGGTACGTCTGCATACTCGTTGAGGAACATGTGCAGCTGTGAGATGCAGATACGCAGGTCGCCGTCAGTGAACTCGTACGGGATGTTAAACCCGAGAGGTCCGAACTTACGTCGCTCCAGCACCACGCCGTGGAACAAGCATAGCGAGAACAGCATCCACTGTCAACAGGATGTGATTTTATTTTATATTATTAGGGGAGCTTACAGTCCAGTACTTTTACGAAGTCAACTTCCACAAGAATAATTACATGACAGTTAAAGCTTCCACATATGAACACAAGAATAAAACTTTAGCATAATAAAACATCTCTTATGACGTTCAGTTTCGTAGTCACTTAGATGGGAAAGTTAAGCTGACGTCCAAAAAGCTCGGTGTGCTCAACAGAGCTAAGCGGTATTTCACTTCAGAGCAGAGACTGTAATTGAGACTGTAATTGTAATTGAAATTTATAAGTCACAAGTCCATCCCCACATGGAATACTGATGCCATCTTTAAGCGAGAGCTCTTGGATGCCAGCTCGGGCCCTTTGACGCGGTTCAAAGACGTGCTATGCGAACTGTTGACGATCCTGTGCTTACAGACGATATTGAAGCACAGTCTTGGAGGAGAGACTTAGTCTCAACAATGATCAATGTTCTGACTTGATGCCAACAGCAAAATTTTATCATCGCAGCGTTTTCAGTAGGGCTAGCACGACAATGCATGAGAGCGTTATAAAGCGCAAGATCTCTATACGAGAATACCAGTGAAAAGGGTTGCAACCCTAACTAGCCGTGAACAGGTTCACGGCAATGAAATGGGAAACTTCCGGTCCACAAAATTTATTAAAGAAGTAAAGTTTAAAGGAAGGCTGTAACAATATATAAAGGTAAATGTAAAAAAACAGGTATAACAGTATAAAACACTCCCTACACTTTATTATTAAGGCACTTACCCCTAAATGGGCCGAGAAACTGAATTACAGAAATAGATACATGTAGGCTGTAGACTTATAAATTGTTACACATGATTAGCTTATTAACAGCTCCGACTGTTGTGGCGGTCGAGCTGGGAGTGACCGTGGTACGAAAACAAAATGAGAAAGTGAAGGAAGATGGAACTATTCAAATTTAAAATTTAAATACATGTAAAATAAAAAAATTATAAGATACAAGCGGAGAGAGGCGATACAAAGAGGTGAGATAACGGTGTAAGGAGGTCACACCGTCACACCAGTATCTCGCGCTTTATGTTTCTTTCGCGTGAGTCGCACCCTGTTGTGCTAGCCCTATAGAGTTGGGCTATACAAAAAACCTATGTACCTTAAAATTGGGTACTTTGGGATCACCAGAACCTATGTAGTCGGCGAAATCTGGTACTTGATTGATGTAGGCCTTCAGCAAGTTGGCTTTGATGCCCCGAGGAGGCTCCACAGTCATCTTGTACCCTGTGCACAGAGATCAGAAATTGCATCTACCGACCTTTACGCAAATGACGTTTATATAACAAACAAATTATGCATTCCCAATTTATTTGTTCTATAGACTATTTTTGGTACAACTCGAATCTCTCTATGTCTTGTTATTATTATTGATACAAAGATGAAGAAACACAAAACAAGAAAAATTCCTTTGATCCGACTGTACTCGAACCAGCGTCTGTGTCAGCCTCATCGTGGTTCTAGTGTCTACAACGGGCACATAAACAAATTCATATGATCTGCTGACTTGATCCGTAGCCACAGTGATGCGACAGACACTGCAGACTGGGGCCCGCCCACACAAAGTAATGCTCAAAACAGAATTTTCAAAATGTGGGTATTTAAAAAAAAATATATACCTACTAGCGAAGTCGTAATAAAGCATATATTATGTATACATTGTATATATTAGTCGTAAATCAGATACCTATCGGTAACTTAATAAAATAATAATAATAATGTTAGGAGACTCAACATACCTGGCTTATTCACTCACGTAAAGCACTTATATCGATTTTAATATCAAACTTAAGAAATAAATGTCTGATGATTGCACGTAAACTCACGTACGTTACGGAATAATTAATATTTAGCGTAAAGAGCAAACTTTGCGCTGATGGCACTTCACAACTGACGGTAGTTAGCGACTCAATATTTTTACGCGTGACGTGATACTTTATTACGACTACGCTAGTGGGTATATATTTTAAAATACCCACATTTTGAAAATTGAGTTTTGACTATTACCTTATATGGGGGGGCCCCAGTTTGTAGTGTCTGTTGCATCACTGTGGCTACAGATCAAGTCAGCAGATCTTATGATTTTTTTTGTGTCCGTTGCAGATGTTTGTATTGGGTTCAAATGAGTTTTTTGCCGTAGCGCCATATATGAGACGCCAGAGCCACGGCGAGGCAACAGTCGCTGGTTTGAGTACAGTCGGATCGAATATCAATAACAATAACAGTCATCCAGTGGAGCATTTTCACAAAAAATATATTTATGAATATCATGATAGTAACAAACATCAGTATTCAATAAAGTAAACATCTCTCTATAACTAAACATCTCTCTATCGTGTAACAGAGGTGATCTTAAGTGAGAATATCTCACTTAAGATCACCTCTGTTACGGATTTAGTTGTTCTATTGGCTGTTTTAGAAACCAATTTAGGTTCCTCGATGATTACCCCGACAACAGTTAACTTAAAAATTAGGCGCGCAACTTAGTTTTGATCCCTTAGTGAACAAGAGAATTTATGACCTCCGTCATCGAGTGACTTGCACGCCGGTTTTCGTGGCATCGCCATCTCTGAGGACCCGGGTTCGATCCCCGGCCGGGTTAATGTAGAAATACAAACTTTTCTATATTGTCTCGGATCAGGCTGCTTATGGCACCGTCGTTGTCACCGATTTTCGTAACACGTGCTTCAGTTACTTACTTTGGGATCAGAGCAACGCATGCGATATCGTCTAATTTTCTTTTTATGTTCGTTTTTTTCTCCACATTTGGCTGGTTTTAACCACACTTACGGATCGGTCATACGTGAAGGACAATAACTAAGAATGGAGGGTGTAAGGTAATGTTACCATTCTGCAAGAGGGCGACGGGAAAGTGAGGGGAGGGCGTGGAGGTGAGCCAGAGGCGGAAATCTTTGTGCACCACCTCAGGAGAGATGTGCTCCACGTTCACTTCCAGGACCGGCATCCACGACGGTGACAGGTGGCAATTCTGCACGTATCCGTTACATTTAAATTATCATATTTAATTATATTGTTGCATATGATTTGCTAGGACTGCCTATACCACTTTACCTAATTATTATATACCGCTTTTCCTCATTTAGTAGCAGTAGAGCCCCTTGTGCAAGGGTTCGTCCAGGGAAGTCGGCCACGTTGCCTATTTCTGTCGCCAAGCAGTAATGTGAGTATTATAGCGTTCCGGTTTTGAAGGGTAAGGGTGCTGGTGACATTACAGGGACATGGGACTTGTCAACTAATGTCACAGTGTGACGGGCGCGGTGGCAGTGCCCCTCAGATCTTTGCGATTTAAAGCTCTGAGCAGCATTGCAACTGCTATGGATAGGCATGTCGCTTACCACCCGGCGCATTTATTCGTACCGTCACTTGATATTATCATGGGCAATACTTCGCAGCACAAACTCTTATGACGTCATTACATGATGTGACAAGATGCACTAAAAGAAACGGATTCCTTGTGGATTTTTAGATTGTTTGTGCCAGTTCTTAATTAGATCAATCCTAACATGAAAATTGATGAAATTTGTTGCTGTTTCATTACGTTTGGTGAACTCAAATGCGAACGTGTTATTGGTATTTTAATATTTTTTTTGTGTGTGTGTTAGGAACGTTACAAATCGATTAATGTAAATTTATTGGAAAAAACTTGTGTACCAACCTGGAAGAAGACCCAGTTGCCGAAGTCACAGCCCGCACGCATCATGGCCTCAGCGAGCGGGCCTTGCCCCTGGCCTAACGAGATGCTCTCGAAACGTTTACCCATTTTCATTTTGTCAGCGAACTTTAAAAGATCTGTTGGTTATACAATATTTCAGTGAGTAGAGCTTGAGGTGCTTGAAAATTAAACGCCAAGTGGAACGTCTTGAGTATGAAGTCTCTGGATAATGAGGATCATGTAAGGAGCTCGTGCAAGTAAAACCACGGTCGTTCGTTCGAGACTGAGTGCACATAAAAAGAATACCTGACCACATATTTAGTAATAAAGTAACTTGCTACGGGTTATCGTTTAACTGCGTCGGCTCCTGAGGTAGCTGTGCGGTGTGAGAGAAGCGACAGTTTACGTAACAGTTATGTGGTGCCGCACACGGGGTAATTTCAATAAGATTTTTCTGACGACATTCAATAGTAAGTTGATTAAGAAAAGTGCCTAAACGATAATAAATAAAACTATTTCAATGGTATTTGAAATTAATAGACAAGCTATTTGGCACTTTTTTCAATAAAATTAATTTAATAATAATAATAATTCGTTTAATTGCTTAAAACATGGTATAACAGAAGATGTCACAAGAGAGTGCCATACAAATATGTTTCGCATATATTAATAGCACGCAAATGCCAAATTATATAATGTCATTGAGACTACCCCAACACAATAAAAAAATGTCACAAACATGTCAAGTTACGAATTAATTTGTTTAAGAATGTTAATCTTCAAAATAAAATCTTACATCTCATTTCTTGTTCTCATAAATATTTTTATTTAAACACTTGTACAGCTCTGTTTTAAATAAACTTAAGTGTAATAGTTTAATCTCAAGTGGTATTGAATATCGTCAGAAAAATCTTAGTGAAATTACTTTTATGCCACTCCTCCCGCACCGCGCGGCTACCTCAGGACCTACATTACGTTCGAGTACTCCCTGAGTGAGTAGTGAGTAATTCTAGTACGTCTGGCGCACCCTGGACAACAATCGGCGAGTACCTTGCGCCGGGTGGCAAATACTTTCACTACGATGACAAACATCCTATGGCGGCGGTACTTGTGGCGTGGTCAGCGTGGCTAAATTCTGGGCCGCGATAACACAGTGTATGCCATCGATACGATGAGAAGAAGTGACGATGAGGATTGGCGTTTGAGGTGGACAAGATCCTCTTGCGTAGTTGACCGAAAGGTAAAGTACTATTAACTCCTCCCTCCAATTAATGAAAAATCAATGGAAATTGGGAAGAATTGCGTAGTTACCAGCAGCAGGGTCTGTTCCGGTAGAAAGCACAAAGATGATGGGCGAGAGCGGGTCAGATTCTGCGTATAGCGCAGCCAGATCTGCCGGCTGCGGTTCCACAAAGCGCGCTCCTAGGCCCACTACCACGTAGTCCTAGCACAATCACAAATGATATAACAACCTTGTTGGGTCTGCCGCTAATGTGCACGGTAGATCACGAGATCCTTGGTTCAATTTTCGCTAGGATCGATTTACAAAACGAATTTTGAAAACCTTTCGGAGGTTTAGGGCCACAATGAGAAATGATCACAATTAAAAAGGACCACTTCTCAAATTGACCATTTCTTGAATTGACCACTTCATGAATTAATTTTCTATTCAATTTTCTAACTTTCAGGAATTTTCTAGTCTTATACCAAATAACTAGAGTGTTTCTACTTCTTATTTCAGAGCAAGGCTCTTGTCGGTTTAGCAATCGCCAATCATATCGGTTCAGCGTCCTAATTTCGATAATCTAATATGACACGATTGAATGTAATAAAAAATATTTTAGTGTGCCCGAAAGTTAAGCATAAAGAGCTCCACACACTCAGTACGACTTGGTTTCTACATAAACCCGTGCCGCGCTCGATATGGGGTTAAAGATCCTACAATATCGTACCGATAACAGATAGGGAGAATCCCCCTAGCGCCGGACAGCACATAGTACCGGACAGATCACGTCCGAACATGAAATAATGCTCTTATTTATAAAAACACGTTAAACTTAACAGAAAGAAACCCCCTGCGGCGTGTGAGGCCTTAGTCTCGCTTGATACGATTTACAGATGACATTACGTTATTTACGTTATTGTAATCGAAATTTTACTTAGGTATGGTGTGTCCCTACGTTCGGACAATATCTGATTCCCTAGTATCGGACAAGTGTATTTTTACCCATACAAGTTCCCTAGTAGGGAGACAATCTTACTTTGACAAAATGTTCTATGCTATATAATTTGTTCCACTACCAGAGAATAAAGAAGAAAACGTCGAGCTGAAAAAAAGTGAAATTTTGACTGATTCGCCATACAAGCGTTTAGAAGAAAAATAAAATTAAAAAAAAATAAAAGAAGAAGGTAATCGTAAAATTCAAAAGACGAAGGACATATGAAAAATAAAAAATAAGTAAAACCGGTTGAAAAACAGCTAGAGAAGTACTACTGTGTTGTTTGTTGCGAAGACTACGAAGAAGACTGGATTCAGTGTGGGTTATGTAAAGAATGGGCACATGAAACCTGTGCGGATATCCCACAGTGCTCAGATCTCTATGTTTGTAATCGTTGTAATTTTTTGTAAGTTATCTTTAAATTGTTTTCACTAAATTCAATTACTGTTTGAGTTGATTTATCGAAAGTCTATGATGGTCGTGTTTCTTAAAATTATATACACATGTTAGATAATATTATTATAAATAATGAGTACATCATGTTTCAGTATATTTGCTGTATCTAAGTTTTTATTTCTAGCGGTACTGTCCGGTATTAGGGGTTTGAATGAATACTAGTCCGGTACTAGGTGCCAGTTTTCAATGATACCAAAAACAAGACCAATTATTAGTTTCTTTTTCTAGTTAAAGTTGTTCGACAGTTATTTATGTTGATTTATTTGAACGTCTAATATGATTGTGTATCTCAAAATGTTACGTGTCGTAATAAAACATGATCTGAATTTGTTTAATTTCTGCAAAACCTGAAGCGTCCGGTACTCGGGGGGCTCCCCCTATAGATATTAATAATCGATATCGATAGACAATGTCATTAAATTGTAACTACCGTAAAATCGAGCAAGTCTCAATTATTGTTATTTATTCTATAAAGGCAATTTTATTACCAGCATGGCAGGCACAAGCTTGTCCGGGCGAAGGCATTTCACTATCAATAACTTCTGGAATGGGTCTATCTGCGTGTCCAGCGGCTTCGGCAACGGTAGCCTATGGAATGAACAATTTATGCTGTTAATATAACTACAATCGATTCTGAACCTTATGATAACTCTGTTGTCGACCGATTCGATTTGATATCGTACGATTTCTTTTCATTTTTATTCGAAACCGAACCTACATGACGTCACACCCGTACAATTGTACGGATGTGACTCGAACTGCGCGACCGGCAAAGGCTACAAACGTTATTCGGAACACAGGTATCGAATGAAAGTTACAAATCGTTGTAATTGTTTACAAATCAAGAACTTAATATGGAAATCTCTTATTCTTTTAAATAAAGTTTGGATTTTGTTAAATTGTATTAATTTATTTTAATACAATACTAATGCATTCCTATATTTTAGGCCTTTAAAGTCTTGAAAATGTATAAAAAAGAATGTAAATTTTTTTATAATCTATTTCACCGACTAACTGCGGATACGCTGTTGGATAACGATACGAACCATATCCAATCGAACGATTCGCTTAAAATATCGAAGAGTTCTGAATCGGGGTCCAGGTCAACATCCTAACAGGTCTCTAGCGGAGCGTACCTTCACCATGAGCCACAATAAATTTATATCTTATGTGTATGACTTTTGTGTTTAATTTTGCAAGTGCTAAATCATCAATCTTTTTATAATATTTCTTTTTGTAAAATGTTGATCACAATTATTTTAAATTCATGCTATTTTACTTAATTCCTATTCTTAAGTTGGATTTAATAGATATATAAGTTCTTATTATTTGTAAAATATAAATGTAACGTAACGAGTTACGCAACGTAGCGTTAACATAGCGTTACATGCAACGCCCGGATTAATAAATTGAAACCGTAAAAGGGTCGCCACAGGACAGGCTTAGCCTAGTGTGGGACCACCTTTAATGATTCACAATGTTTTCAGGCGTGGCATCGCGTTATCAACGCATGTTTTTGTTAATGTTTAACACATACTTAACCTTAATTTAGCATAAGTCTCTTGCTCTTGTCTTAAAAATGTAAATATGTTAAGTATTTTTTTTTCTTTGTGTTTGTGATGCCAAATAAACATATTCTATTATATTCTAATGAATAAATTGACATCAATAACTTTTTAAAAATAAAACTAGAAATATCCAAAATTGTAACATTATAGTACGATACTCCGTGTTTTCAAAATATTTACTAGGAATTTGCATTTGGTGCCTGACATCAAACCTCTTGTCAATTCCACTCATCCGAAGAACAGGGTCCGATGTGATTATATAGCGAAAAGAGAATAAATACGTTACGAGAATAATTGCCTTATTCAAAGTAAGGCCTACGTTAAGGTGTTTTGAGAATTTATATATCTTATTATGAAATATTCGGAAATATAAAATCCAGTAAAACGGTCGATCTGACATCCACAGAGAAAAAGAACGAACGAAATGTACTATGTCCTGAGAACAAGTAATCTTGCACATACATCTTTGTTCTACGGATGAGTCGTATTACAGATGTTTACAAAAAGGTTCTAAACTTGCACAAACCAAGTTGTAATTGTTATTGTACCAAGATTTTTAAACTGTAAAATACTATTTGGCTAGAATTACTTTGGATAAAACTTCTGTAAATTATTACAAAAAATATGAATGCTGTCGTGTCTATATATTTGTAATACAGAACTTCTTCAAGCAGAAGTTGAAACTATTTAATTTTGATCTAGAAAACAAGGAACTCTAAACCATTTTTCACTCGTCTTTACACAAAGCAGGGTTTCTTAACCTGTGGTCCATGGACTAAAGGATACGTGTAATGAGCGCCGGGGGTCCATGGCGAGCCTACCTAACATAACAAGTTAATATAAAAATTCTAACTTTTTTCTTTTACAAAAACCCGATCTCATAAATTTGCTTATCGGTTTTTTTATTGGAATTACATCTATGTGCCGAGTTTTGTTGAAATCGGTTACCGGAAAGTGCGCGAAACCGGATTCATCCCCTAGTTAAATTGGACCAATACGGAGGTACACTCTTTTCCTCAAAATCGGTTCACAAATGCCGAGTAGTTGCTACACACAAAAAACAGTCTATTTGAGAACATTCTTCTTTTTTGAAGTTGGTTAAATATTGGTATACAATATGTTGTGAGTTAATAGGTAGGTACTGTTTGTCTTTTCGGAAAGGGACCTTGAGTTGTTTGAAATTTGAGAGTGATTCATATCAAGAAAAAGGTTAAGAAACCATGCATAAAGCATTCACATTTAAGTAGAGTCGCAGAATCGATATTGTCTTTCAAATTACTGACTTGTGCGGGTTCCAGGCGTCATAGTAATTCCGAAAGAATTTCAACTGCTGCGGAAAAATGTCGACGACGAACTCGTGCATTGTAGGCAGAGATGCGAGCTGTTGCAACTCCAACCACATGCGCTCTGATATCCATTTGGGTTCCGGGTTCTCTGACTCCTGTAGTATAAGGATGATATTCCAGTTTTTCGTATAAAACTTACACTCTGCTCGTTTGAATAGTTATGCTTCCTGATAGTAAGAAAGATGCCGTCGTCTATTTACATTTTCATCATCAAGGCGCTGGTACTTCGATCTGTTTTAAGGGCGTCTTATGAAAGTTCGCAACATAAGAAAGCAAATCTCAGTATGCAGTTCTTGGCAAAATAAAGCTATCATAAGAATATGTTATTAATAGTGGTCATCAAAATCGCGTATATTTGTTTTTCAAATAAACCAACGTTTCAGGCCCGTTACAGGTCCCTTGGTCACGGCTGACTGAGATGATAAAGTCATCAACCTGTTATGTCTAATATTAATGCAAACCATCCTATTTTTCACTATACTTAATAAAATTTTGCTTCAGCTGTATCAAGCACAAGTCCGGTCGTGTATGGCATTGACTTACAATTATATGGACGTCGGGTCCGCGCTAAAAAGTGTCCGCACTTGTAAGGCGCTAAAATCGTATACAGAACGCGACACTCCGCTTTAGTCTTCATTTGTTCTACTGACAGCGCGATACTGCGATGACATTACAATTTAAATTTCGAATAGGTTGACTTGGGACATTTTTTTCGTGGCTTTTGTATTAGACCCGTCGTCCATTTATTTGTAAGTCAATGGTGTATGGAGTCACTTTTGGGATGGCACTGCTACCTACATACCAACTGGCTACCTTGGATTCAATAGACAAGCGTGTCAAGAGGTTCCTAGGAATTAGTAGAGGCGAAGCTGCAGAGCATTGAACACCGCCGTAAAGTTGCCTGGTTATCGGTATTTTACAGGATATATCACGGAGAGTGCGATGGAATTACACGATTTAATTCCGCCTTCCCCTTTCCATCATCGGGGGACTAGACGACGAACTAGACTAGACGGGAGGCTTGGATTCCACCCCTGTGTTGTGAATATTCCAAAGATTCGCACGAAGCGTTACGCTTCCACATTTATACGGCGAACGGCTATGGGGTGGAATTCCCTGCCTGCAGACTTGTTCCCTGAACGTTACAACTTGGAGCTTTTCAAGGCGAGAGTGAATAGTTAGGGGTGCATGCTCCATCGTCGACCTCATCGTCACTTTCTATCATGTGTGATGTCAATTGCGCACTTACATTTGTATTAAAAAAAAAGCCTTATTTTTATATTTTTCAAAGAACATTCCAATTTACGCTACATATGTTTTGCTAATTATTTTATTTCAAAATAAATCTATATTATTTATATTACATTTATTATTATTAATAGCTGCAACTAGAATAAATTAAAACATTAAATAGTACTGCAGTCTGTTTGCTTGGGATTTTTCATCAGAGGGAACCCAAATGGGTGATACGGAGTACCAGCTTCCGTGTGGAAATTAGGATGTTTTTTAATTCCAATGGTCTCTCGCAGCGTCCTGAGTGGGTGTGCCTGATACGTTGGCTTGTTTGTAATAACAAATATACGCGGTTTACATCCGAAAAATGAGTTTCATTTACTGTGTGTAACAATCGTGAAAACCTAAGAACTCCAAGTGGTCATCAAGTTAGGAGCAGGATTACTTTCCAAGAAGGATGCCCGAAATCAAATATCAGTTTAGATATCCAATTTTTTGGAATCGTGGCAGTTTAGGTGACTTTTATCACTGGCATCTAGTATATAACCAGAAATAGAGACGAAATAAGGGCCATCCATTCCTGGCAACTCATCAAGCAAATGGGCCTTATGTCACTTTTAAATGTCAACTCCCGTTTGCGCTGAAATCTAAATGAAATCGAAATAGTACAGCGCCAACAACTAATCTGTGTTTACGTCACCGCATATTCCAAAAATGTTCTGTATTTATTGTAATATAGATATTATCTCTAACAATGCACACAGCCCGATGGGCTGTTTCATTCGGCAGTGTGGGGAAACTGCAAAATATCTAATTACAAAACAAACATTTCATCGGTTAATAAATATACATATAATTATTATTACAAAGATCGAACACTCAGAAAAAATTTCTTCGATCCGGTCGGATTCGAAACGACGTCTTCTTGCATACCGTGCCAGACGCTATACCAACTAAGCCACGGAACGAAACAACGGACCTCACGAATTTTTCTATGTGCTTGCGTCGTGTCTTTGTACTTGGTCTTTCAACGACTTTTTAGTCGTAGCGCCATCTATGAGAAATCTATTGCAGATTTATCACCCAGTTAGTACCTTTACAGCTACCAGTCCTGGCGAGAGATGTCGCTATTCACTGTATTAATTAAATTTTTATTGAATTGATATTCAATTATTTTTTGTGAAAATCACAGCTTAGTTGGTATAGCGTCTGGCACGGTATGCAAGAAGACGTCGGTTCGAATCCGACCGGATCGAAGGAATTTTTTCTGAGTGTTTTTTCTGAGTGTTCGATCGTTGTAATAATAATTATAACAAATTAGCGGAGTATTTTCACAAAAAATAATTGAATATCAATTCAATAAAAATTTAATTAAATATACATATAATAAATATTCCATTTTTCAATTTTCGTCAATGACAGCAAAGCTCCAGTTAAACTGGTCGATTTGAAGTGAAACAATTGATGACACCCGTCAATTGGCTCGAATTCGTGCTGGCCAATCGGAGTGCAGTTGTCACCGTAATGATTTGGCAAAATAGTTTTCAAACAAATTAAATGACATTTCGTCTCTATTTCTGGTTATATACGCGGTGATCACTGATTTCCTGCATGTTGGGGAAAGTTCCACAAAGTCTTACAAGATGTTTCAACGACACGTGTATTCAGTAGTATATTCTAGAATTATTAAGACTAAATACCTCTTCGACCTTAGCGCCCATTAGCAGAAAGTTGAATTCAGAAAGCTTAATAGTGCCCTTGTCGAGCAGTATTCGCACGCACATGAGAAAAGCGAACAGTAGCTTGTGTCTCTCGAATAGCGAACGGCATACGTTCGAGTACAGAATGAACGTGAAGTGGTGGATTATCGTTTCCACGCGCTCGATTATGTCCTCTGGAAAAAACAAGCAGTATGTGGTTATAATGGCGGTGCGAAAGGATAAAGGTTAACCACCAGCTACACCTTAAAAACAGTGATCACTGTGTGTTAGACAGTTAGTACAGAAAACATTATCACCAAGTTGTAAGGTTTAATACCTTAAAATGTAGGTAACATGCAACACCCAATCGCATGCTAGCACGCACGCACCCACAAGAAGCCCATCCGCCCGGCGGTTTTGTATTTGATTTATAAGATTGTACAACAAGTGCATAAAACGCGTCATTTTACCCGAGACGAGACAGGCGAGAGTGGATACTTAAGTCGAGGGTAAAATGATTTTTATAAAAGTTATATTTCTTGGGCGTGGTTGCCAAGTGGTTATCTTCGAGGAGTAGCGGGGTCTTCTTTATTTGAGTGAAGTACGAAGTGCAATGAGTTCGAGGAATATTACGTTTATTGGTTACTTCACAATTATGATCTGCTTTTACAATTATACGTATAAGTGATTTTACAACAAAGCCGTAACGCAAGCGATTTGGAGCTTGTGTTCGGAGTTTGGTACGGATACGTAGACTTGTGAAATTTGATGCGAACTGTGGTTAAATGTGAACTGTCCCTTGTCGCGGCGTGTTGCCTTTTTATATCGGCAAGCGCGAAGGATGCGTAGCGTCTCCGGTTCGTGTGTCACTTCCTGTCGCCAAAGCTTTTAAGATAATTGTGTTTTTCGCATAGCGATGTGCGTTTATCTGTTGCGTCTTGCAATGTCTGTTATTTCCTTTGATAGGCCTGGTTTGTATTGTAAAGAATGGTATCTTCGTCTGGCGTCGTAGTGTACTTAAGTTTCTTCCTGTGTCGTTATCTATGGAATCTGGCCATGTTGGTGGTCGTTCCTTAACTTAAACGAGTTATACACTCTGCTTTTCACTTCGATGGCGAGAAAATCAAAGGGAGGAATGAAATCAAAGGGAGGAAGGGAGGAAATCAAACTATTTTTCCGGATTTAATTCGCGTGTATTTGTTTTTTCAAACAAACAAAAGTTTTAATTTATTCTAATTTCTATTATTAATTAATAATAAATTGAACTTAATAAAAATTCATTCAATAAAATAATTTGTAAAACGTAATGTAGCGTAAATTGGAATGTTTCTTTGTAAAATTAAAAACAAGGTATTTAATTAATAACTTTTGTAAATATACTGAAAAATTGCATTAATATTAAACATGACTGTACGACCTCAGTTAACCGTGACCATGGTACCTGTAACAGCCCGAAACGTCGGTTTGTTTGAAAAAACAAATATACGCGATTTAAATACGGACAAATAGTTTCATTACCTATGTGTAACAATCGCGAAAACCTAAGAACTCGACATCTAACTATACAATAATCTAGTACAAAGTACTAAAAAACCGACCTCAAAAGTCATTCATCCCCTAGTTAGACCCTTAAATGAGACCACATTATTCCAACAAAAAAAAGAAACATCAAAATCGGTTCACAAATTATCTCGTAACACACTTATAAATAGAGCGCACTTTCGTTCAACACCTTATTATGCATCCATTACCAATTTGTGACGTCAGAAACATTAAGCTACAAAAAGTGTCTTCACCAACTCTGAGAGATTAGCACTTCAGATTTGTTGTGATGCTTTTTGGACAGCAGTTATGAGTAGTAGGCTGACAAAAGGTGGATTCACGTTATTTTGGCTGGACCTGGCCTAATAAAAAGAGCCTCGACAAGGATTTTCTGCTTTTTTTAGGATCAACGTGGTAGTGCATGTTGGTTACTCACCATTGGGCTCAGTCTCTGCCATAGCCCGAATGAATAGCTTGACAAACCACTCCAATGAATACTGGTACATAGGATCAACATTGGCCATGCCCGAAAGGCAGAAGAACAGTATCTGTCCACGGTTGGCTACTGGTACGTAATCTTGACGAGCCTCGTCTATCTCGATCGTCGTGCGTTCAATGTCTGCTACTTTTATCTGTGGATATAAATATACGGGTAATGGCTGGTTAAAGTGTTGGTTTTATTCATCAATCATCAATTTGAGGAGTGACATACCTACATCATAAGTTCGGGATACAGAAAGCCAACAGTCTTATAAGGCTGTCTTATAGTGTAGGTATTGTGAAATCGGAATATTGTAAATTGGCAGCTTTGCGTCCTAAGTGTCATGCGTCAGTTTAAGCTGAATTTATTATTCGATTTAATTCCGAACAATAGTTTCGTTTCCTATGTGTAACAATCGCGAAAACCTAAGAACTCGATAATATAATATAATTTTAAGTGCCGCCAGTATTTAAGCCGATAAATGGTATAAGGTAAAACGGCTTGTCTATTGTGTTCCAATAATGTAATAAATAAAAAAACAATATCAGAAATGTAAGATTAATTTGCACTTACGTGAATTTCAGCACTCTTGACTTTGATAGCCTCTAGCGTTAAGATGAGTGGCAAGTCATCTACCGGCGAGCCTTCGCTGTTGGACAGGCCGTACAAGATGTCGGACTGCATTTCGGCCAGTTGCTGCGCCATCTGCGCGCGCGATACGATCAGCTGCCCGCGTAACTCCTCCAGATCCGGCCGTTCTTGAGCTACCACTATTGCCAACAGCTGTTCTTCTAAGCCACTGCATGGGACAATACAAAGACCAATAAACACCCAAGTGTTGGTCTTACGACAAGAATTACATATTCTTTCGTATTTAGGTGCTACTGGCTTTTTTTTTGACTTGGGGTAATTGTTATAGATACTCCTAAGCCCAGGGAGACTCAGGGGTTATGAAGGGCTCTCCCGTTTGGAGGGCCTACCCGACTAAACCCCGCCGGGTTTACCTCTCGCCGGTTGAGTCGGCGCCGTGGGGTCAGTGAACATTCACCGAGACAGGTGCTACTGGCCTGACATTTAAGAACGTCAATAGTCAATTCCATATTATTGCTCTCATTAACTCGAAAAATTAAGTAAATAGATGAGTAGCAATGTCTATCTATTAGACGCCACTTTATGTATAGTGCTAAATAAAGAGGTTTGGGAACTGTAAAATCTTGAACCATTTTTACTAAGTCATAGAAAGAAACATTTACAAAGCACTGTGGTTAAATGTTTAATCATAATTTACTTAATCTAGCTTAAGGAAGAGTAAAGCGATGTACCGATCAAATAGAATCTGCAATCGACGTTCATTTGCGTGAGTCCACCAACAGAGAGAGATTCACATCATCCCATAATAAATATACTCCGTTATGACTACGATCGCTCTGTCAAGAGTGCTACGTAAAAGAATAATAATAATTTATGTACAGTCGTACCTGGGCACAAGCGCGAAGTTGACGACTTGCACTTTGACGGAAGTCTCAGGCGTGTACTTGGGATTGGGCAACTTGGTGGTCATGTACAGGCGGAAGCCCGGCATGAATGGGATTATCGAGTCGCCTAGTTTCAGAACCAGCTGGCCTGCTTGACGGAAGTATTGGCGCTGAGGGAGTATATTATACATTTTAGTTTATCGTCATCAACATACATTTCACTGCTGATAATTGGGGTGCACCAAAGAAGCCATTCCTTTCCCGTACGTCTAGCGTACTTTGGGCAACAATCGACGATTATCTTAAACCGATTGACTAATCCTTTGACCACGATGGCAAGCATTATAGTGTATGCCATCGATACGATAAGAAGAAAAAGGATTATAAAGCCTTCTATCTGTGTATGAATTTTCTAGTAACCATACCAACTGACACTCCATTTGATGTTTTTCAATGTTTTATTTAATTGGGATTAACTTTGCGACCTCCGGAGTTATTGACGGTTATAAGACATTTTCTATCAAAGCACGACCAAATAGCGAGAATAAACCGTGGTTTTGAAGTTAAAAGGGAATGCGACAACATCAGTAATTGTTGACATCTAAGTTAACAAGATAAATCAATTCGTGAATCGAGTCGTCTATATCAAAAATATATACAGTGACCTTTATTGTATAGAGACCTGAAAAACTGCGTCATACCATACATCATCTATGATTCAGCTCGTATAACAAAATTTGTTGAAAATCACGATAGAGGCTTAAGGATACCTTGAGCACGGGGTCGAGTGCAGGGTCGACCTCTTGCCCGACATTCTCAAGCAGGATCGGCTTGCCGAAACGCAGCCCCGACTCGAAGCTGCGCAGCAAATCGCGGTCGTTCGGTTTGCATACTATCAGCCCTTCCAGTTTGCCCTGAAACATGGCATTTAATTGGCTATAGTGGATGTTATAATTCCAGGAAAGCAGCGTGAGGAAGGCACAGAAGAAGTTTGATCAAAACAGATCAAATGAAGGTATTTCTTATCTGTTAAAGATCAGCTAGCTCAAAACCACAAGGCCAACTGACCTCCGAAATCGTAAATAGCATCCCAAGAACGTTCTTTATCACAGTTGAGCTTGTATTTGGCTTGTTTTTAACAAGACCGGAAAGAGTCTAATTTCAAGGAAATTCATCATAGATGTTGGAAATATGCAACTACGAAAAGTTTATCAAATGAGCCCCAGTATGAAAAATTGTGATGTCGTTGTCGGAAGTCAACAACGACATCAAGTTTTCGAGACTTGCCATTTTTTAAAAAGAATTATAATATATTAATATTTCTCATTAAAAAAAACGGATCATGTTTTCTCCGATTGGTGATAAACTGCCTCACAGCCTATCCGTATATTTTATGGCATTATATATTTATTATAATTATTTGTTTTACATAAAATATGACTGATTATTCTGTATCTTGGAGATAAACCTGAAAAATACTAAGTAGATTTATCTCGTTCTAAAACTTATCAACAAATCGTGAAAGAGACTATAGCTGCTGTATTCATTGTAATTAGCAGATTTACCATAGCCCGGATCCATTTGTTGGCCTGCGTCTGCGGGTCGATGATGAGCGGCCAGCGGCGCGAGTTGGACATCAGCACCGCGGATTCCACAGACATTGGGTCGCGCGGCAGCCCGTACATCTGCCACGTCCTGTGCATCCACCAAGTCACATCAGCCATAGTGTGATTGTATTAAGTAGACGCATGATCGCGTATACATGGAGGATTGCCGTTATTAGCGGTATTGTTGTTGACGTGATCTCTGTCACACGAAAAGCTCGGAAGCTCTAACTAAAGCTCCGATGAATGATATTATAAGTATCTCTGTGTCTCAACTGTGTAATATCTTCGGTAGTAGACATTGACTTACAAATAAATGGACGACGGGTCTAATACAAAAACCACGAAAAAAATGTCCCAAGTCAACCTATATAAACGTAGTGACATGTAAAGGAATATGAAAAAGCTAAAACGTTGAATTCAAATTGTAATGTCATCGCAGTACTGTCAAATTTTGCTTGCTTCGCTGTCAGTCGAACAAACGAAGACTAAAGCGTGAATGACGCTCTGTATACGATTTTAACGCCCTATAAGTTCGGACACTTTTTAGCGCGGACCCGACGTCCATATGATTGTAAGTCAATGGTAGTAGAGCATAAACTGGTCGTGTTATTCAGTGTAAAGAAGTTTTCATTACTTCTGACCCACCGTGATGAGGACGCTATCGCGTCGGCGTTCGCTTCAGAGGTAATGATTTCTCTTGCTTTACTTCGTCTTCAACTAGGTTGGCATCAAATTTATTTGTCCTATACATAAGATAATTAGAGCTGACTGTTCCACATCTTGCTAAATTAGTTTTGGTTATAGTGACCCTCCCTGCCGACCCTTAGCGCCCAGTTACACGAGGAGAATGTTTAACATTAATGGCGAATTTGAATTCTATTTACTAGGTAACAACATTTAAATTCCTCTGAACAATACAACACTGCGGTTGCCGCGCGGGGCGCCGCGTAGACCAGATTCAAGCCAGTCTCGCCTGCGTGCCCGGGACGCTCATTTAACTTAAAACGTAAAAGCTAAGTAAATAGAGCGTATTTTGCCATGACAGTTAAATGCACGCGGTCGCTGCGCGGCGGCAAGGCGGACTCCGCGCGGCGGTCGCGGGGTGAGCGTCATGAAATTTGTGTCGCTTAGGGTATACGAGATGGGCATTACAACCTGTGCGCGCTCAGGAACCTTGTAATTACAGGGTTGTCACAGACCTCTGTCACTTGACGTCATCCAGGGATCGATAGGGTAGAGCCTCGGGTGGGGAGGCCATTGTACACGTACAGTTCCCACCCTATTTTCCAGATAGGCACCTGAGCTGTAGGCACGCTCACTTCCCGTTGCGCATTACACAACTAGCGGTTGCCACCGATAAGCCGTCGACTTTAAGTCCAATACCAAATCTCCTCATTGGTGGCGGAGCTGTAAGGCACGCTCACGTTTTTCGGCGTCGGGAACGCCGAAAAACGACGTCTCCAGTTCCTAATTAGAGCTGACAAAAGAGTTACAGAATAATACGCAATCCGTACTGTGTTCCCTGATCATGCTTCAGCGTACGATCTGGCTACACTGCCGAGTTTCACCGCCGCCGCCGGTAAACTTGCGCAAACCATATACCGTTTTCCCTTAAATAGCATAATAAAATTATAGGGAGTTACACCGTGTAGTCATTCCTTCATGCAGTCATAGTGTAGTTTATATTCTACTGCCAGTTATCTCCAATGATAAGTAAGTTCAAATGGGACTGCTTTCTAGGTTCAGGCGTTACTTTGCGGAAATCCATATTAATAAAAATAGAAGTTGTAAAAGTGGTACGAAGAGAGAGAGAGAGAGGTAAAGTACGACTTGAAGTAGGAAGACCAGGGTCACTAAATACAAATCGGCGTTTATTCACGTAGGTGAAGTATCGAAATGAGGCATAATCGTAGTTATCTTCGATGCCAGCTTCCCGTCTCACGAGGTAGAAGCGGCAGACGGTGATCTATGATACCGAGCGAATTCTACGAGCTTTTATCTAAGTATCCCAACGAAGGTGGAAGTACTAGGAGTGCCACTCATAGGCCATATGATTCGATACAATGCAATTTTCTTTACAGCTCATAATATGGTAATTTAGTGAACACTTAATTAGCGCGTTTTAACTCGACGCTAATCCTATCTAGTTGGAACTAATTTATAATGATGTGGTGTTGTGAAGTAAGTCATTTTGCTATTCGCAGAGAAGCAATACGAGACTGTGTCTAATAGCAATAAGGACATGCATAGCGGAACATTTTTCTTTCGAAAAATACAATTGCTATTTGTTGCAGGTGTCTTGGCCAGGTATTTATTTTATGATATCAAGTGGCGGGACGAACAAGTCGTGTGACTGTTGGTAAGCGACACGCCCGGTCCATAGCAGTTGCAGTGCCAATCAGAACTTTAAATTGCAAAGATTTGATTGGGTAACGCCTAAGCGCCGGTTACATGACGCGAAAGATTCCGCGCGGCCACCGCGCTGTGACCGCCCAGTTACCGCGTTTTCACGTACATTAATTGCGAATCTGAATTCTATTTACTACGCAACAACATTTAAATTCCTCGGAATAACATAACCGCGCGGAAGTCGCGCGGCCGCCGCGTAGATCAAAGACTACGCCCGCGCGCCCAGAACGCTCATTTCAATTAAAACGTAAAACCTAAACAAATAGACATTGATTTGTCATGACAGTTAGACGCACGCAGTCGCTGCGCGGCGGCCGATAAGATTCGTGTGGAATAAATGCGCCCTAAGTGTAATTTGTGTATTGAGAAGTAAGGACAAACCTGATTTGTACGGCATCTCCAAGTATAGACAAAGGAGTTCCACCTTCTGAATGCGGCACACCGACTTCCTTTGAATTGGGATTATATTTTTAAATGTTACGAAGAAGTTTTCTAACTAAAATGCAAAGTTTATATATATATTGAAATTTACTTTTATGTGGTCAATCCAACGTCGCAGAAGGTCGCGTCGGTACTCATCTGTGAATGGTGTTATGTAGCCAACAGCGCCTGCCAAGTAAATAAAGCAAAGATGTCAGGTAAAATAATGTGCTGCCCTAAAAGTCCATTACCCAGTTTTCGTCAGATTAGGGTTTTTTTGTATGTTTTGCCATGAATTAATAACGCAAGTGGACTAAGTAATTTCCATACTACAGATGATAACTCTAAATTATACCTTTTTTATAAAAAAAGTGTGGAATTACATCTATTTGCCATGTTTGATTGAAAACGGTGAACGGAATGATTTTCGATTGATGATCTTGATGATCTTCGATTTTCAAGGTTTTGCGCGAGATATTTAATACGAGCAACGTATAAAGCGAAAATATATGCAACTACACGTACTGTTGGCACACGTGTCACACCAATTAAGCACTGTATTTTTGTTCTGTGATTATCACAATTATGGCCAGGCTAAACAAATAAGTCAGTCGGTAGAGCACTATGGTTATTTATTATATATAAAAACGGGGCACAGATATATTACACAGATACTACGACGTAAGCAAATACTTACAACATGAACTAATACAAAATTACAGCAGAAAAGACGCACATGAAAAAAACTTCTAGTGTTAAACGCGGATTCTTGGATACTAACTAGGGAGCGTGAGGGTGCGGGTCGGTACACACGCATAAAACAGAAGTTACCGGAAGTCGTTTCATTATTACCATATTTGGTCATGCAAAAGTGACATTTTGACAAAACAGGGTCGATGGCGAGAAGCGCTATCTACATTCGCAAAGACTAATGTAGTTCTTCGAGGATGTGTGATCGTCGCGATATCGGGTAGGACACCTTCGAGTACGCTCCGGGCGCACTAGGTGGGGTTGACACGCTATACAAGACATATTCTTGCAAGTTTTCTTACTGACGATTTTTATTTATTTACTACTAATAGCATACAATCGCTAGAATAGAATAGAATCGTTTATTTCATGTTATCAATGTCACAATATTGCAATTGGAAATACAATGTCAAGGGATAACTATGATCGTCAGTAATAAAATAATAATAATAATAATAATAATAATGAATATAAAATAAAGTAGTATAACTACTGCTTGTCGGATAAAATAAAAAAAATTGTTTCAAAAGAAACTCATCGACACTGTACAATTCAATATCCAATAAAAGGATTTTTAGTCGGGTACAAAACGTTTCATCGTTTCTAACACTTTTCAGGTCTGCGGGTAGATGTTCGTAGAATCGGGGACCTATTACCCGCGGATTTCTAGTTGCAAGTTCGGTACGGTGGGCAACGGATTTTAGTGTTCCCGCGTTTCGTAACGCTCGGCCTCCGCCCGTACGTCGCTCATAAGTAGCCAAGTTTTGACGCGCATAAACTATTATATCATAAATATATTGTGAGTACATGCTCATTATATTGTATTTCTTAAAAAGGTTTCTGCAGGTCTGACCCTTTTTTATGCCTACTATTGTTCTTAGTGCACGTTTTTGAAGAATAAATACCCTAATCGACTCAGTTGAATTACCCCACAGTGTGTGCCATAAGACATCAACGAATGAAAATATGCAAAATACGTCTGCCTCAATACCACATTGGAAACAAGAGGACGCAGTTTCCTCAATGCGTATGCATATGCTATACGCGTATGCTATATTCTATATAATTTGTTTTATTTGTTTCTGTTGTCAGAATAGGGTTCCCGACCCGGATTCACAAACAAGAGACAGACAAGGAAACAATGCCAACTGACAGGCGCTGAGCAGGATGTCCCCGATGAGGTTGACGTTGGCGACGGCCAACTCCTTGATGGTATTCACCCAGCGCACGCGTTCGCTCGACATCCCGTGCAGCAATCTGCGGGACATCACACCAGTTTTATTCATGTGTTAAACCTATACCTTCGAAAACTACTTTTCTCTTTACCTAGCCATTCCTACACAACAACAAAATACAGTTCTCTTCTTTTTCTTTTCAAACTTTATCCAATAAGATTTGAGAAATCAATTTTGAATAGTCACCGACTTAAAGTTGAGCACCAATTTCGAAGCACCAAATTCCATATTTGATACCTATATTATATATTTCATTTAAATGCATTCCTTTAATGGCGTAATATAAAACTATAACTAGTGAATGCGTAGAGTAAACAATATATCCATATTGTAAGTGAACAACACAATAATTCTAGCCATTTATTGTTTTGACTTTCGTTTGTATGTTTTGTAAATTGTCCTAAATAAATAATTAAACGTATATTACGGTCCTGCCGAAATATCGAGTACAACGCTTCTAAGTTTGAGATGATAAAGGTTGAGGCTCTCCTGTACTCGACCTCTCTTACGTAAAGTATCGTATGTCCAAATTGCCAAGTTCACAAGGGAGCGTTCTAAAGTTCTGAATTCACTGAAAAGAGGGTAACGCGTGACTTTAGTATTTCTCAGTTTTATTCATAAAGCACGTTACTCACATAGACGATTCTAAAATCCTAGATATCGCTTAGATGCTCTATTAGATGATCACTCTATGTGAGTAACGAGTTTTGCCGAATAAAACTGAGAATTGCTAAAGTCACGCGTGTTACGCTCTTTTCAGTGAATTCTGAACTTTATAACGCTGCAAAGTTGGCAATTTCGACTTACAGTTCTTTATGTAGGAGGGGTCGACTTCGATTTTTTAGCAATAGACAGATGGACATTTTGGGTCTTTTATCAAGCACCATTTCAATCAGTCATTTTTCAAGCAAACTATTTTAATAAATACAGCGAAACAAAATTTTCAAACATATAAATCGCAGTATACATACTGCTATAAATAAAACGAAAAATGTATTTATGTAGGAAATGAAACTATTTTTCGTCAACCGTGACCATGGGACCTGTAAAGGGCCCGAAACGTCGGTTTGTTTGAAAAAACAAATATACGCGATTTAAATCCGGAAAAATAGTTTCATTTCCTATGTGTAACAATCGCGAAAACCTAAGAACTCGAAATGTATTTATGTCTTCACATACTTAATCTATTTCAAAAGCTTGCACTGCAAAAATCTTAACGAAACAGCCATCATTAAACGGTAAATTAAATAATACAATAAGATTGACGGCCCCACCGAATATACGTGTAATAGTTATTTATTATACACGGCTGCAAAATTGTTGTTTAACGCGAGTGCTTATATTGAAACCTGAGAAAGCTACGAGACGCAAAACAACTTTGCTGCCGAGCGAAACACACAACTTTTCACCTCACTGTAGAGAGGAAAATGGTAGATGAAAGAAAAATGGTTGAACATCATTTTTTTTTATTAGAAGAGAAAGTTTAGAGATTCGCTCTGGACCTTTTGGAGGGAGAAGTGTCGTTTTTATTTTGACTTTAAATTATTTTGTGAAATCTAGTTTAAAGTGGAATAGGATAGTGCTATTGTGCCTTAATCGAAGATTAAAACGCGAAATTATGCGAATCTCGAACTAAAATACACGTATCGGCCCGTTTTAAGAAACCCTGAGCCAATCCAAGCACGCCGCCTCAAATTGCCTATCCTCTTTGTGGCGGCCATATTTACAGAAACATAATTAAACTTCATGTTTAGGCAGATGGCTTTGCCAAAGCCTTAATAAATTAAAAAAAAAACGAGAAAGTTTATCTTCGGATGCGTTCTGAATTTACACCTCATCAATTTTTATCCGTGCTCGTACGGTTATTTTAGTTCTTCGAGGAATTAAAATAATTTAATAAACACCATTAGTTGTCATTGTTAATTTGATGTCAACAATAATAAGAATAAAATATACCAACGGATTTATGTTACATAAAGAGATAATGTACGTACAAATCGCGTAGTTGAACGTGTCATTATCTTTTTTTTTCATTGAAAGAAAAAGTTACGTGTACCACATTCTATCGTCAAGTTCGAATTTCAAAAACCTTTTCCACGCTAGCGTGCAAAAAACGCTTATGCGCGCTGATTTCTAATGAGAAAGAAAGCCTTTCCGAGCTAGGGAGGTGAAAAAGCTTTTACCGTAATTTTCTATATTTTTTTGCAATTTTGGATTTTCCCTTGTATTTCCCTCAAATTACAATTCATAATTTTTTTAAGACTTAATTACCCATTAATTTTATAAATATTCCAGTACTCCAACGTTTATTATACGGAAAATAAAATCAACAATCTCGCACGAATATTGCAAGTATGTATGTATTTCGCCCACTATCTACTCTTGCACGTTTAGGTATAATTTATAACAAACCAACTTTGTATTATTTATTGTTCGTGAGAATCTTTAAAAATGTTTAAAATTGTAACGCATTTTTGCACTATTAAAATTTATGACCAATTACCTACTAGAATAACCATGTTACTATATAATATTCGCATAGAGAAATCTTAATATCCATAGCAAAACAGAGTAAAATTATGTTACATTTTAAAGTAAATCTACGTCTACTACCTTTTTCCACGAATCAGATAAGGTTCCACCAGTGTGTTCTGCCCACCATAACATATGGTGCCGAGACATGGACGCTCACGCAGGAGACTGTGTACAGGTTGAGAGTTGCACAGAGGGCCATGGCGCGCGTCATGCTCGGCATCAGCCTTGTAGACCGAGCGTCCGAACGTCCGAACGTTGAGAATCGAGGAGGGACTAAAGTTCAGGATGCTGGAACTCGGATCATGGAACTCAAATGGGGCCGGACGGGACACCTAGCAAGGCAGGGTGATCGACTGATTGGTGGCCGAGGATGGGCAAAAGAAGCATTTGGCGCCCTGTTGCAAGGTGAGTCGATGACATAGTACGCGTCGCGGGGTGTCAATGGACGCGGCTAGCAAGGCACCGTAGTGGATGGCACAAACTTCGGGAGGCCTATACCCAGCAGTGGGTGAAATCAGGCTGTGGATGATGATGTTGAGTTTAATATAAGATATAATGTTTTTTTAACTTTAATTTGGTCATATATTGTATTTAAGTATATCCAATCACCAAATGCGTAATATTATTTTTTAAGTTATTAATCGCTCCTGGAAAGTAGTAGTTTTTCTTTTATAAGTTTATTCGGTATATTCATGTCATTTCTAAATATCATTTGTCAATTCTGACCATGTTTTCCTTTAATTTAATTTGTTGACTGAACAAAAAACGTTTTAATATCACTGTTTCTTTATTTACTTTTCTCTGATCCTAAAAAAACGAATTATAGCAATGTTCGAAAAGATATCTCACGTAACGTCATTTTTAAGATTCGAAATTGACAGTTGAACGACGCCAACACTTTTTTGGAACAATGAAGTAATATCCCCTTTTTGTATCTAGGTTGTATCTAAGTTCCATTTACTTTTTTTGTAACATTCGTATTTTTTACAGACGTTACAGCCCAGGCTCATATTACCTGTTCGCTCGATCCATACGTGCGAGGCACGCGTTAATGTCTGTCTCCATGCGGAATTTCTCGTCTTCCTTCTCCTGCAAGTACGCGTTCAATTTTGCGATGCCTTCCAGCAGAGCTTGCATCTTCGCTTGCGCCGCATCCAACATTGCTGTAAGGCAATTGGCGTTTTAGCAGGGATCAGCGTTGTTTTAGGCTAAGGGTTTTGGGATCTTGGGACTTGTATCTCTATGTTACGTACGTTTATAAATGTTTAGCAGCAATACCTCTCGTTAACGATGAAGAAAAATATCGTTATGGAACCAGTTGATCGAAGAAGGTTCACAAATTTGAGGAGTCCTTTAAAGTCCCCAACCCGTATTGGGCTAGAGTAGCGGTCTAGCTTAAGCCTTCTCCTTATAAAGACCCGTGCCCAGCGGTGAGATGTATAATAGGTTGATAATGATGAATCCTGTATGTTGAATAAAAACTTACCTTGAGATCTACATTGAGTGGGATTTACGAGACTTGGTGACTGTGAAGTAGTCTATAAAATATTATTTATTTAAACAAAGGTTTTGAAGTCCCTCAAAATACAATGACGGTTCTTTCCTTACCACGTTACATGTATATAACCAGAAATAGAGACGAAACGCCATTTAATTTATTTGAAAACTATTCTGCCATATCATTACTGTGACAACTGCGCTCCGATTGGCCAGCCCGAATTCGAAACAAATGACGGGTGTCGTCAATTTTTTTCACATCAAATCGACCAGTTAACTTGATCTTTGCTATAATGGACGAAAATAGCAAAATTACATATTTAATATTTAATTACCGATGAAATGTGATTCCGTTGTTTTGTAATTAGACGTTTTGCTGTTTTTCCCACATCACCGAATAGAACAGCACGGCACTGTTAGAGATATTGTCTTTATTACAATAAATACAGAATATTTTTTGGAATATACGGAGACGTACGCACAGGTCAGTAGTTGGCCTGTCTATATTTCAGTACAAACGAGAGTTGATATTTATAAGAGCTGTATCGCTAATGTGTTACCAGGAATATAGGCCCTTATTTCGTCTCTATTTCTGGTTATATAATCGATGCCACGTTATGACGTGTAAATTAATTACAATATGGTTTTACTTGCTTGTAGTGGTAACCACGTTTTTTATATTCCATGAATATAAAGGTATCTACAATATCCGTATTGGTTAAGACCAGCCATTGCTTGTAGCTTATTAAAAATGTTTATTTTAGTTACTTTGTGCATTTTTTTACATGGTGCCACTGTTATTACCGTTTATTCCTACTTCAGCTTTCTAGATGAATAGTTTTATCCTACGATATAGTAAAACTATTTCCGTAACTCCGGAACTCGAAAAAAGTAATTTATTAATGTTTGGTGGTGTAACATGTAGACATTTATCTACTCATTTGGAAAACCCTATTCCGATCATTATAATGATTAAACACCCTAAAATCCTTATTGACATAATCGGGTGTGGGTTCGAACAGAGAAATAAGACAAACCTTGGACAGCTTGTAACTCTTCACCGGCAGCCTTCAGAGCGGCTTTCTTGGGCGCTACGGCCTTGTTCACGTGATAGAACTTGTACATGGCGTGCACCCACATGCATAGAGACATGCACGCCTTTGACACCTGCACCAAAGTATAATTACTACCTTGTCATCAGTCACCACATTCCTTTATATTTCTACATAAGTTTTGGTTACAGTGACCCTCCCACCAACCCCCAGGGTATACCGGAAGAGCACTATAACCTGTGCAAACACACGGATATCCCGTGGATAGGGTTGTCACAGATCGTTGTCACGGGTTACATTCGGTCCTCAAAAGGCTAGTATTTCGGGTAAGAATTTTCTAATCACAGTATAAGAAAGACTACGTCAGTAGGAGTAGACTTTTTGTTCATGCTTATTTCTGCTGCCAAGCAGTAATGTGTTTTCTGCTGCCAAACAGTAATGTGTGCATTTCTGCGTTACGGTTCAAATGGGTAAGGATGCTATAGTCGGTCTTTTTGAAGGCGGAGTTGACAGTTCATAGTGAAGTGTTGCCCGCTTGCGAGCAGCTAGTGATTGCAGTCAATAAATATTCTATCGAGTATCGACTGAATATTGGTTACGCTTATGGAATAAATATCCGAACTATTTAATTTCTATTATCCTCGACCCGTTATTCATCCAGTTACTGAGCACAAGTTCATTTGAATTGTCAATTTTTCTAATGATAAAAAATGCAAATAGGAGACATATTTTAAAGATTTTCGTTTTAATTCAATACAGATAATCGAATCCGAGTATTCTTGTTAAGATGTATATGAATTTCATTATATATTTTTAAAAAACTATACAAGGCATATTTACTTAACGCCCAGCAATCTCCAGCGTAGCTGTTTATGTGTCGAGTTAGCATGTTAGCAGGTTAAGTTATAATTTATTTTTCAGTTAATTGTTATTACTGTAATTATGATTGTAAATTAGTTAAGGGCAATAAATTTAATATTTTATACATTTTAATATATATAATTTGATACAATTTAAAGTTTGGATAAATACAACAAACAAAGAAAAAAAAAGTATTTGTTAATTTTCAATTTGTATATTTGTGACGTCCACTGTGTTCCGTGCCGCACGAATCATCGCCGAATCCACTGAAAATCAGCGTCGTACCACACTTTCAGTGAGACGACAATAGCTGAGTGGATGACGGATTCAGTGGCTGCACAGCACACATCCTGTCTCCCTTATCTTTCTTTCTTCTATTTTTTATGTTTTTGTTTTGTTTGTAAATTGTATGTGTGCTGTGCTTTACATTGAATAAATAATTTCTATTTCTATTTCTATGAATAAGAAATGATGTCGATATTAGTAGGCCAATTGTCAAATTAAGAATAAAGTAGGCAATAACGCAATTGGCAATCATTAGAACGTTGTAACATTCACAATTCTGTCATTTTTGCAAAATTTTATGTTCCTTCAAAATCTATCGATAAAACTACCGACAACAGCTACATAACTATTTAAAATTTTATGAAACGTGGCAACCCCACAATTTTACTCCGTCTTCGAAAAAGACCGACTATAGAAAAATTCTAGGCACACGGGTGTTATCATCTTAAGTCTAAGTAAGGTGCGCAGAATCAAGCAGTAAGTACCTAATTAAAGCTCTTAGTATAACTGCAACTATTATAGGTAGGCGTATCGTTCACCATTAGCCACACGTTACTTTGACACCACAGGGTACAAAAGAATTCATGCAAATTAACTTTAGTACATATTTAAAACTGTAGATGGCGACACTTGTATAAATATTCAATATCGAAAATTTGAAATATCGACTGTGAACTGGCAACCGGTACTATCTCAATTTTGAGACTTTTACAGGATGAAGAAAAAAATCATTTATATAGCATCTGGTTTATTAAA